CTTCATGAATATAGCCACATAGTGGTACATCATACTTCAGCATACTAGAAAGATCTAAATCTGGACACCATGTTTCGCAAACTTTTAAGAATTCCTCCTATTAATGATACATCCTATTTTGCTATTTCATTAGAATCTTGTTTCTTTAGAAATAATTTTCTTTCTCATTTTCTCTTACTTACTTAATTTCTTTTTAAATTTTGTCATTATAAGCAGTTATGCACCAATGCTTTTATATTTTTCTAGCCTTATTCATTTTTTTTTTTGGGGGGGAGGGGGGGATGCCTGCACAGAGTATAGAAATCACATAAAAATGTGTAATGTCATGAATAGATTTTAATGGTCTCTAGATACGATGCATTCACCCTAATCTTCAAGGATCGTGGGCAGCTCTTGATAAAGATCTGCCTTCTCAAAACCCATGTTTGGTTAACTCTTTTGTGTTGGCTGCAAGTCTGGCACTTTGACAGCTGAAACTCAATGCAGCACTGAAGCAGCTGAAATTTTGGTTCTACCAACAAATGCTCCTAATATCCTACACTGATCATAAGAAGAGGTCCTTAAACAGGTTTACACAAAAAGAAAAAGACAAGTCCTCAATACAGTTACAGATACACAACTTAAGTTCTTGGGCCACTCCATCAGAAAAGAGGGATTGGAGATCTAAGCCTTAGTGAAAAATACCTGGCAAAAGTGCCTGAGGCAAACAACGAAAGACCTTCCTTGACAATTTAGAATTTCCAACAAGACACCTTTGAACATTGGAAAGAACTTTGGCAAAATATCGACATTCCTCAAACACTGCATCGATGATGGCACATGACGAAGAGAAGATGATAAAACAGTTATTCCTGACAAAGAAAAACTAACAAGTTCTTTGTTCACCAGTACAATATCATAACAATATGTGAAAAATGGAACATTTCACAAAAAAAGTTAATAACCTAAGTAAAATAATCCGATCAGGCTGGTTTTGGAATTAGACCTGTATTTCAGTAATATTGATCACTCTTGAAGACAAAAGGTCAACTGTTTATACATTTAATGTGTTATCTGTATTGCTAAAAAAGAAATCTTCATGTTCTGGTAAACAGGTAACATGAACATTCAAAAAATGTAACTAGTATGAGGATTCAGTTCCATAGGGTTTCAAAGTCAAACATTGAAATGCCAATACCTAAAAAATTGAAATTTTACCAAAATAACAGCAAAAAAAAAAAAAAAATAATAATAATAATAATAATAATAAAAATAAAAATAATAATAATAATAAAATTATAAATAATAAATAAATAAATAATAATTCCAATAAATAAAAATAATAAACTGCATAATTAAATAACTATCAGGCTGGTTTATGAACTCAAGCTGTGCTTTATTGCCACGAGTCAGATCTGTAAATTAGAGCATAAAAAAATCTTATGCCATTAAAAAACATTTTCCATTAAAAAAAAGGGCATATAGATGTCACCACCTACAGATGCTGGGAGTTGCTAAATGTATAGACATGGTGCCCGTAGACAAAAAGTAAACCAGTTGTGAGTTTCATTCTTGTTCTAATTTTAATCAAGAACTAAAACTATACCTGCACTCTGTTTAATGTGACATAAGCTCTAGAGGAGTATATAACAGCATGTCCTATGTGGTCAGCAATCATATGAGACAGTGCCTTTACTAACAACATGGTGGGAAACACAATGGACGGTGTCAGTACAGTTTTGCCACCAACAGCAACAGCAACAAGCAGAAATGCAAGGATAAGGATCTTGGAGCATCCAACGATCATCAAATTATAAAAAATGCCTGCAGCATACTGTCCTCTCCGTAAATGTGAAATCTCTTTCCTAAAGGTAAAGTAAGAAAGCATTTTGACTGTCTGCTAAATATAAGTGAAGTTCTTTCCTAAAAAGTAAGGCTTAAGAAAGATATTGTTATTCAATCTACAAGGAAAGATGAGTTTTCTTTCAAAAATTTGCTTTTTACAAAAATATTTTACTTGAATAATTTAACTATTACACTAAAACCGAAGTTCACTACTAAAACATTTGAGACAAAGTTGAAAATTAAAGCAGCTGGAACCAGACTATCCTTATGCCTCAATGAAGCTGGACCCAAACCCTCCCTATGCCCAAAAGAAGCTGGACCCAAAGCCTCCCTATGCCCAAAAGAAGCTGGACTCAGACCCTCCCTATGCCCAAAAGAAGCTGGACCCACACCCTCCCTATGCCCAAAAGAAGCTGGACTCAGACCCTACCTATGCCCAAAAGAAGCTGGACTCAGACCCTCCCTATGCCCAAAAGAAGCTGGGCCCAGACCGCAAATGGGCCTTAATTATTCATCAAGCATAAGCTTTTCATAGTATATTCATAACTTTTTTCAAATTTGGTGTAAGGCAAATTCATAGGAAAAGCTGAGGCACATGCATTAAAGAAAATGCAATGCAGTTACTAAAAATTTTTGCTGCCAATAAAAGGGATAATAAAACTATGTAAAGAAGGGTACAATATGTCACATCATTCATTTTCATTAAAAAAGACTCATTCCACCAGTTTTGTATTAAAATCAAAGTTAGAGTGACACTCTAGCTGAAATTAAAGGGGCTAGAGTGTCAATCATTGCCTATACCCACTGCATGCTTCATTAGTATAATGTAACATCTTTATTCTTTCTTTTCTTTTCTTAAATTCCTTTATTTTTTATCCTTTTTTAAGGGAAGGGTTTAATAAATAATGGTCTGATTCACAGACATTTGGGTAAAATATTCCTCTCTTTAACTGCACACCAACAGACCGATTATTACATCCTTATGATGGATGGAAAGATGGTAGAAAGGGGTGGATAGCAATGTCTTATCTCAACCTGTAGACTACATCATAATCAACATTCCGAATTGCTACACTGGCCATATCCAGAGCATCCTGGAGAAAAAGGCACTCCCTTCCAAATCCTCCTCTTAGCAGTGCTTGATGTATACAACTGTTTTTACAACTAGATGCTTACAAAAAATACTTACAGCCCATACTGAAGATAGGATATTCATATGTAAAATATCAAAATAAATAAATACTACTGGGTATTAGTATAAGGTTAAAAAAAATCCATTTCCCTTTTTTTACCTGTATCCTCAAGCAAGAGGTGTGTACCTCCCCAGTTAACTGGAGACCAAGGGACATCTTGGTGAATATTATCCCTCTCACTGAGTGTAGTATGCCCATGGAGGGAAATATAACAGAGGCAAAGGGTAAACGGCACAAGGTCAAAGCCACTGATAACACAACCGGCAATATCATGATCTTGTCTGCACAATAAGAGACACTGCACAGACAGGCTTTCAAACGCTGGCTTTCAAACACACGCACCAACTCCATCCTACAAATGAAGAAGTCTTTAAAAGACAACAACTCAAGGAGTTAAAAAATAAAAATAAAATTGGGTCAAGGTCATGATGCAACAAGGTCAAGGTGATAAGATATAAAAATGAATGGAGGGCGTTTTCCTGAAATGGCCATAGAGTGGTGCTGAAGTTTGCATTAATTTCTAATACTTCAAGATTTCCAAATGAGAAAAAGGATTTATTGTTATAAAAAAACTACATTTGCAGAATAGACAGCATGCAGAAAAGGAAGGAAAGCTGAACTACTGCAAATCATAAATGCTGAATGTTGATAACTAGTGGATGGCAAGCTTTTTGGTCAGAAGCAGCAGCACAGGTTCCTGCAAACTGCTATAATTATTAGTATCCTCATAGATATAGTAATTTGCTGATGCTTAAGGAATAAATTTCTAACCCAATTCAGAGGCAAGATTCAAGAATGCAGTAAATTAGTCCCAAGAAAATTTTTTCTGAGTACACAACAGCATAATTTTTAAATAACACATTACAATTAAGCTTATAATTTTTGTCATTGGGGAAAAAAAAACCCTCACATCAAACTATCCATCCTCCAGTCATTAACACCTGGCTATTAAAATATCCTGAATAATGCACATTCAAAATGAATATATTCCCCGATTTTCCTGCAATAGTTTAGGGTACGATTTCACACAAGTGAATAAAATGCAAGATTCCTCTAAAAGATCCTAAATTGAACTCCAATTATAAGCACGACTTCTAATATCTCAGTGGGGATAATATCAAGGTTCATTTACCTCTAAAATAAGGTCAAGGTCAATGTCCAGGCCATATTACACATATTATATTGGAATCTCATATCTAAACTATATAAACAAGACAGACAATTTTTGAAGACCTATTATATTGTTTTAGGCCCTGCACAACCTAGTTAGCTAATTAAGAATGCCATTTGCACTTTTTATGTCATATTCCACATCTAAATATCAATCTTTAAGTTATCCTATCCAGGGTTTTTCCGGTAAAATTAAATTTTCCAAGTAGAATAAAAAGCACTTTCTTTTCCCATCCCTTCTCTGAACTAGGATTCAATTTTAACACTATTTCTAATTAACTATCTTGATTTTTCAAATTAGCAACATGGCCAATCACTTAGATTGTCATGCTTTCCTGTGAATTTTCAAAGGAACAAAATTCTGGATTGGGAGAGATAAGTACTTTTGCAAGATGCATAGACAGAATATATCACTTTTATATTCAATTTAAATCTGGATATAATGATATACCTTCAAGTGAGTACTGGAGTTAATAGAAATGTTCTTGTCAGTCATATGTACAATATTTATATTTTAATTTTTTTTCAAATTTTAGTGTAAAATAGCGTTTGCCCAAATAATGTGCCGATGGACACCATCAGGTTTTGTAGCATGGTTTTAATCCATCTATAATTTTAGGAAAAAATCTTTGCTACCATGCAATCATACTAACCTGTAATCGCCTTATGGTAATTATGGCTTCAGATGTGATTTGAATCGCCACAGGGATAAACAGGGTCAAGGTCAGTCTGATTGCTTGATACATTGAGATCATCACAAACACCATATCTGCCTGCAACGTGCCCCCCATAGCAAGGTAACCAATCAATGTTAAAAGCACCATGAATTTAGGACTAAAGAAGTAAGGTGCAGCATTGAAAGCACGCGCATAGCTGGAAGCTTTGATACAGCGTATTTCTTTTCTGCAAGGGAAAAGGGGAGATTATTGTAATCAACCATAAAAAAGAAGCATAAATCATCGGCTTGATATTTCTTTCTCAAATAAAATAAAAAATAATAATTTAATTAATAACAAATCATTATTTTTATAATTTGACTGATTTCACTTGCTTCAATTTTGATGGAAAATGTATAATTAACACAACAAACTTTTAAAATTCAAAACAGATGATCAGATTCATTTATACCAAACTCCACCATCACTCAATACAACAAACAATAAGCCACACACATCAAACTTGAGGATGTTCTCCTATACAAAACATATATTCTCTAACTAATTTATTCCAAGGAATTAGATAGTAAGGAATGATCTCTCTCTCTGTCTCTCTCCACAGTGTGTCAAAAATCTGGGTTTTGATTGTTTTGAATTGGAATACATAGAAAGACACAAGCAATACTGTCTGATGCTGGCTATGGTGACATGACCAGGGTTAAGCATTCTTCTGTCATGTTGATTGATACAGAGAAGCCCATTTTTTGAAGGTTAAAGGTTTGCTCACTCTTCCTACAAGAGCTTTCCATTATCCCCAGCGGGGATAGTAGTAATTGTGAATAATACTACCAAGTTTCACCACGTTTTAAGTAATGGTCTTTCATCTCTGAATGTTTAATTTTTTCAGAAAGACCAAAGTTACACAAAACTGAAGTCACCTTTAACAGAGCTTTTTGGCCCACCTGAGACTCATTTAGACATAAATACAAGCTAGTGTTAATGGAACAGAGGAAAAATCAAACTGTTTAACTTTTGAGAAGTATAGTACTATATATGCCAGATTTAAAAAAAAAAAAAAAAATTCACTTATTGCTAGGTATGATTGCTAGGTATTTTGGGAGATGTAAATGGTAAGTTTTAATATTTCTCACAAATCAGCAGACAGTTATAATTGTTTCTGTAATATATTTCTCTGAAAATAATTACCCATTCATACAAGGTAATATTTTTTGCTGTATTTCATTCAGTCTTTATAGTATTAAAATTACTTTTTATTCCTTAGATGCAGATGCGTATGCCAGAAGTGCGTAGACCAGACATGATTGTTGAGTTTCACGTTCAGATTTCTTCCATTCAGAATTCAATCAATAATGCTGGGTAAATGAAACATGTACCCATCCAGTACAGCCCTATTACACTATATCACGCCTGAGACAAGTTGAAGTATTTTAAGCTTCCGATCATGGCCTAATTCTTACCTATTGTTGACTTTTCTGCAGAGGATGGAGATTTTAGGTATGCAACTTATGTATCTTCTTTTATTGTCACTCTTTGTAATGTCATGTTCTGCAAGAATATCATCAAAGTCATAGCACCCATGAAATGCCTTGTTGTAGTGTGGTGCAAGCGATCCCTCAGACGTTCCTTAAGCAAGTGCATCAGATAGCTCTCTGCCACTACCAGACCGTACAAGACACTGAACAGTTGGCTGGGTAATTAGTTTTATGAGAGCTGGGTTTTTGGCTTTATGAGACCATTCTTTCCAATCTAGTTCCTTGGTTGTTCTAACACCGCATGCATAAACGGTGCATATAATGGTGAACAAGCTCTAGACATGCTGACATAAAAAAAGGTGGAGGTTAAGAATAATTTCAATACTTAGTCCAGTTGTTGACTGAAGAAAAAATTGCTGCTATTTTTAGTGCAGAATCATTTCTCTTTCAATTATGTTCATGCTTTTATATAAATATATAAATTAATTTAGGACTTAATTCAACTCAATATAAAACTTCGTGCTCTGCAATGCTCACTGGAAAACGGACACCAGATGTCACTGTTTACCAATGGGAGGTTATCATTCCTTTTATGGGGGCTGGCGTCTAGGGCACCACGAATTGCAAAGACCTTCCACTGTTCTCAGTCACGATCTAGATGTTGGATGGTTCCCAACCAATGAGAGGTGGATACCAAGCAATGGGATCAAATTATAGGCAAAATGTCAGAAATCACAAATAACTGTTTCAATCTACATGAAAATGCCCAAAAAACAAAGTCCCTCACCAGATCATAGTACTCATATTAAACACGTAGTCTAATATACCTTGTCTGTGAATAGCATAGAGATAATGATGCAAGGAATGGCCTAATAAAGGAAAATAAACTTGAAATATGTAACTTCCTACTTAAGCAAAAACAAACTGAAAAAACTGACTACATATAAATGCTAACAAAAGGTACAAAAAGTAGACTTCAAAGCAGGATGTCTAATATGAAAAGTGCAAACAAATGAAGCTCAAGCATTAATTTCAAACTGTTACAGCAGCAGAAAAAGACATTTATAACTCTTACAAGAGGTAAAAACCTATATGCCATCTCTGCAAATGATGAAGCGACAGAAGTACTACGCATCATAAAAAGAACCACTCTACGACATTGCTAACAAGTCTTATTCCACATATAACACCACGTACCAACTTGCCCTCTCTACAGATTTTTGATACAAATGCAATGTTTATAACTCATCAGAAAACTTAAACAGATAATGGGAGATCTTTTTTTCTATGAATAAGAAATATGAAAGATTTGTTCCTTTTTTAGCATCATTTTTTTTTTTTGTAAGGGAGCATTCAGATAGACACATCATACTAGTTGGGTCAGTCCAACTCTGGGGAGGTTCTCACTAAGTGCAATCAGTTTAACTGGAGGAGGTGTGTCTGACAATCAAACTGATTGTACTCAGCGAGAATCCCCAACAGAGTTGTGACTTAACTCGTATGATGTGTTAATCTGTATGAGGTCTCAGTTTCATTATGATACCACTAAACTGATGACATATTTGGCAAAGAAAAGAAGCCCAGGGTTTCAAGTTAAAACGGACTTTCAGAAAATTGGAAAATAATTTTTTGAAAAAAAGTATAGGAAAAATAGAAATCATTCTACAAAAATGATGGCTTCCCAACACCTTTTAAGCCATACTGATCTTAAACATGTCTTTAATTGTATTAAATAACAGTATTTAGTGTAACAACGATAACTCATCTAACAAAATTTCAAAAAACAACATAAAATAGTAAAGGCTCTATCACACCTAGTGTAAATAGGTAGTATCAGTACAGGAGTATTGTATGTGACATCAACTATATGCACAACTTTGAGAATATGTAATCATCCTGTTTCCAGCATATTAAAATAAAGATTTAAGCAATGTAAGGAATTATTTTTGAGCATGCTCAAAATATTTAATCTCCCTCTGGATATGTGAATACTTGTCTGCGTACAAGAGATGTATACCAGCATAGCATGACACATTCCATCATTTTTACACCAAAAAAAAAAAAAAAAAAAAGGAAAAAATAGGAAATTTCTCTAGAAAATAGGGAAAAAAGGAAGATAAAAAAATAGGAACTTGACACCCTGGCAGCCAAATTTTTTTTTATGTTGAATTAGTCTTGTAACAGAAGTTTTAGGAGCTGATGAACCCAAATCCTTTAGTTGTTATGAGTTTGCAGAATTTTGTGGGCCTCATATTTTATCATAGCAAGCTTGTGGATTACTGTAATATGCAGTTGAGGCTGAAATGTTTAGTTGCCTTTAATTGGCAGCTTATTCATAGCTGGCGAACTCTTCACATCCCAAAATCTTAGCAGTTTCACATCTCATAGTGATTCAGTTTTGCTTATGTAAAGTGGGGCAATTTAAAAGAAAAATTAGGTAAACCTCCAATTTCGAACTTCCTAACTAAAGAGTCAATTCACCCTTTCCAATAAAAGACGAGTTTGCCTTAATTTCCAATGAACCAATACGTGCATTATACATTCGTGGAACAGAATTTTTCAAATCTCCTAAAATTATCTAAATCACGGTTAATAAAATAAAACAAAATAATAATGTGACATGTGAAACCGCTAAGATGTTCAATATTGGTGAGTAAAAGCTTAGCAGCCTTAAAGCACCAGAAAACCAGCAGTAAAAGGTAAGCAAGGAGAAACCAGTGCACGTCACATATAATGTCACAAGAACATAATTATGCTAATAACTGGCAACATGCTGTCACCATTTGAGCTGAGTGAAATCTGTACATTGTGGACATGTATAACAGGCTGTAGCCAGGGGGGGTTCGGGGGTTCGAAAGAACCGCCCCTTTTGCTGGGAAAAGGTCCACTCTGGGTAAAATTTTATCTAGGTACATGATGTCTTTATGGAAAAAGGTCCACTTTTTCAGAAAACGAACCCCCCTTTTGAAATTGCTGGCTACGGGCCTGTATAATATGACAGACAGCTTTATTATACAGAGTTTGAAGTGTCAGTGATATAAACTGCAGGTTTGTATTTTTGAAAATTCTTATTAATCAAGTTGCATATTATTAATTCAGTTTCAGGAAAAAAAAGCAAAATATTCACACCATGCCCACTTCACTATGCTCAAACGGTCCACAATCCATTAAAACATCAAAACAAAATATTATAAGATTTTAATTGTGGGATAACTGAAAATGTGCAATCAAACAAAATAAAACATTATTCAGGCCTATTTTCATAATATAAACATTTTTCTAAATTTCACATTTGGGACAATGCATATCAAGGGATTAAAACATTCTGATGAATCACTGATCAGTTTCCCATAACCCATGCCTCACTGACTTACTTGCGAACCCTTCTGATTAGTTCCCCAAAGGGTTTTTCCCAGCAATACATCTTAATCACTCGCATCCCTGATATAATTTCACTCATGATACGCACTCGTTCATCTGTTTGAACAGCAGTTTTTCTCCTAAAATTCAAACATCAGGCATATAGGTAATGAATATACTGAAAAAACGAGGATAAAGATCCACAGCCAACATCATAGGGACCATTCAGATGGAGAAGAGCCGAGTGCTTGTAAGGCCGCCACTTAAATATGGCGGGCCTTCATGAAAGGAAGACCGCCAATCCTGTAATGGTCTCTCTGCCTCTCACAGGCCTCGATCCCCACACATTGTCCCTTGACTGGTTGAATTGAGCCGAGATTTAATTACTGTGCCCCTGCAGGGACGATGCATGGGGAGGCGTGTGAGAGGCAAAGAGACCATAACAGGATTAGTGATCTTCCTTTTATGAAGCCATATTTAGGTGGCGGCCTTACTAGTACTCGGCTCTTCTCAATCTGAATGGTCTCATAGAATCTTGTCTTTTGGCCACAGCAAGTAACAAACATTTTTGGGCAGCTAAATGTCTCACAGATCTTATTTTCATTTCACTATTCATCTTAAGCATTTACACCACAATTTACATCTCAATTTTGACTTGAATGAGAAAATCATGAAAAATTAACAAATTTTTGGAAAATACACTCTAAAAGAAACTCTTAGGTTTCTCTATGCCATATCTTAGTGTGTAGACAGCAGCCAGTCTAGCTTCCGTCTAAGCTAGATTTATAACATCTGAACACTTTTATCAGAGCGCCTGGTACCTGAGTTTGGCAAAGAGTTTCCCCATCCAGCCTTGTACAGGGATCAGTAGCACCAACACTGCGTAGCCAGCGAGGCATGCTGGACCCAGCATGTACCACAGTATCACTAGGGCGGCTATGGCTTCTAAAGGACCTATCCACAGGAAGTGAAGGAATATCACAGCCTGCAAGTATTATGTGATATGCATGTAAAAGCCTGTAATCAAATGAACAACATAACAGGCTGAAAGTAAAGAACAGAAACATTACTGCCTAAAGTCCACCTTATCTCAATAAGTGTCATAAAAATGCCCCGTAAATTATTGAGAGTAATCAAACTATGTAAAAAAAAAAAAACCTTTTTGAATCACATACTTTTCATTTTACAAAATTCAGACGACCTTTATCAGGCAAATTAAAAATGCAACAGCAACCCTTTCACCAATTTGACATTGGTGTTAAAGAAACTAAGGATATGCTTAGACATGAACTTCCATGTTAAAATATGCTTATGTATGCTGTCACCTGCTGATACCTTCGGACATCATTAGGCACAAGGCTGAATAAAAGGATCTTAAGGATATTGTCACCCTTCACCCTTAGCTCCTCATTTGCTGCCTTACATACATTCTTTTGGGTAATAGATAAATCCTCAGTGTTCAGTGACTAAATATATTAACTCTTACACATATGCCACCTTACAGGTGACGTCATAATTGCAATTTTGGTTTCTCACATTTCTCTTTTACCTGAGCACCCACAGTCACCGTTTCAACGCTGATTTAATGACACTTATTTGACAATCCATTTAGTACTCCAAAACCCTGTCAGCGATTTTTCTTAAAAGCCATACACCCCATTTCCATAGATTAGATCGACCTACTTTAGATCGACCTAACTCCCTGGGGGTTCACGCTAAATAGCTGTCAGCCGGGCGGACAAGAAAGTTAATTACCCTCTTACAGCTTGTAGTAGGCGGGACGGACATTTAAGTCGGATTATCTGAAAGTAATCTAGTGAGACTCCCCGCGGGGATAGATCGATCTAAAATCTATGGGAATAGAGCCTTAGTTCAGACTTTATCATTGATAAAGCAAAACAGTGCCTTTGTTTAATGAAAATCTGTAACTAGGGGCTCATGGGAAAACCTCATTTTCGGTATTTGGATGATAATAAAGGGTCGCAGTACCCTTAAAAACACGGAAATTGAGTTAACTCACCTGGTCGAACCTATTGACATCATTAGACATGAGGTTGACAATCTGACCCGTGGTGGTCTTCCCTAGAGAGCTGTGACTGAGGCGAAGGGACTGAAAAAAATTCAACAAAAGTAGATAATTTGTCCTACAAACTAACTACCAGAACAGCAGAAAAAAATTAAGAAATAGTAGTTATAATTCAGATAAGATGGGAATTAATAAGAGGGCTGCCCTACGCAGGGCACCTTTTTCCATTTAACAGATAAAATATAAATCTATAGTCCTGCTCACAATGAAAAATTTGCACCATTTTTTTTAAAAAGGATCCATCTTTTTAACTGAATTGTATTTGGCACATCCCTAAAATCATATATAACAGAGTCCAACTTTACAGTACCTTTTTATAAATCAGCGAGCAGCTAGCAATCCTAAGCCACATTCCTATTCGTTGCACGCCAAAGAAATAAGGATGATGGAAGATCGCTAAAAACATGGCACAAAAACTGACCCCTGCAGCATACATGTATGCTTCCCAGGGTTCCATAGTCGAACCAGGTGAGAAGTAACGTATCAGACCCCCCAAAAGCACTGGCTGGACCACCTTGGTAGCCTCCTAGAAAATAAAGTTCAAGAGATTCAATTTCTATGGAAAACCACAGATAAAGAGTGAGACTGAAAGTGGACCTTAAAAAATCTTGAAAACAGAAGCAATGAGGAACCACAGTTCTTTATGAGGGGTCCTGTGAGCATGAATATAACACCCAAATACATCTAAATAATTGCTATGTAATATCTAATATTTTAGTTTCTTTTCTCTGTTTAAAAGTTAAAATTAGAAGCAATCAAGGTAAATTTTAAGGTAAAGAGAGAGAGAGAGAGAATAACTAGAATTGATGGTTGGATTGATGATCATTTTGATGCCAAGACTGGTAAATGATGGGATTGAAAAGATGGATGTATGTGGCATGAAAAAAAAGAAGGGCACCAAACCTCTACAAAGGTGATCAGTCCAAACAACATGTATTGCTTCCCAAACGCCCTGACCATTGCCCTGAGAAGACTGGGGTTGCCCTTTGTTTCTGGATTCAATTTTTTCAGCTCTTTGTCCCATTCTCTGGAAATGAAAAAGTGATGGCATTTATGAAACAGTACTTAAGTACTTAATATACCAACTAAAATAGGTTACAATTTCAGTTCAGTGAACCAAACAATCAATTTCCTGAACCAAAATTAATATGATCTTTTATAAGGATACTTTTGCAAATATATCCTGACAGATAAGTTTCATGAAATTTCTGTTTCAATATTTCACAAATGTTTTTTAAGAATTACAACATATCTGCAAAGCTTGCACAGTAGGACTCTCTTCAACATTTTTTCGTAAGTCAAATTATTTTCAACAAAGTCAAAACCAAAAGAACTTAATGATGTACAAATTGAATAAGTGTCTAGTCTCAATAATAACACAAATCGCATTTCTCAACACAAATTGCTTTAGACACAAGTTTCAAAAACATACATGGCAAACTCTTTGGGTGAACTATGTAGCTACCTATCCCCTATAAACTTCAAATCATATTTTTAAAATCAATACCCACTTCTGTAACCTATTGCTCAGATAATCTGCCGAGTCATCATGGACAACATTGTACATATCCTCCACCTCCAGGTTGCGCTTGTAGCCAACTTTGAAGAGCGGATTTATCCACCTTAAAATGGTACACATAAAGTTTTAAAAATAAATTATGTCAATTTGTAATTTATTTTTGTTGTAAACAGGTAGCCTCTTTCACTTATGATTAAAACCTCACTAATCTAAGGCTATGCCATTTACAGGCATAGCACTGGAAATTTCAAAATATGTGCAATACAAAAACTATATATATATATATTGAGAGATCTTGAGCTGGCTGCAAAATTATCGGAGGGGCTAATTAATCAAGCCCTCTTTTCCCGTGGCTTTAGTCAAAATGACACAAAATGGTTGCCAGCTGTGAAACTACATGACATAAAATTGGAGCAAATGACCAGAGGTAATCGCCAGAGGTAATCATATCAGCAGGCTTAATGGGCAGGATAACTGCACATTTTTAATAATAAAAATCTAATTTGAAGAGCATTTCAAACAGTTCATTTTTGCAGAATTGTCATTTTTCTTCTGTATGTACAGTCTTTGCAAAATTGCAACTACTTTTCATCTAGTCATCCATTTTTTTTAGATTTTATTTTTATTTATTTATTATTCATTTTATTGTTATTATTTTTGGAGTAACTCTACGATTATTTGACACTTCTTTCCTAGAAACCCCGCTTTCAGACAACCAAAAAGTAATAAGAACTTGACTTGTATGTGTCCTCATCTACATGTATGTTTAATACATTATCAGGTTCTAAGATGTAACCCGTATATCTCACTGACTGGATGTGGGCCACGTGGCTCCAGCATGGCCTTGGGTTTCTTCCATGTTACATATGACAACAAAGAGGTAATGCAACTTTCCACATCTACCTATCCAAGACTTCTCCTGCGAATCTCATTTAACGTTCACTTACGGTTCTCAATCTATTCTAGAACATAAATGGTGTATCTTTTTTTACAGTTCTATTGTTGCTCTTTAATGAATGTAACAGTTTGAGAACTGTTTTTGGGAAGTCCTTTAGAATGTCCTAGAACAGGTTAAGAACATTCTTCATTAAAAGAGAAAAACATTATGTTCTAGGACAGACTGAGAACCGTAAGTGAGCATTAAATGAGACAAATTTTCACAGGGGTTACCAGTACGTGAGAAATGATGTCCAATGGTTGATTACTTTCAGTTTAAAGCATCCTTTAAAGCACAAGTTGCATGACCCTACCTATCAGTGTATATATATGAAGTTTCAAAGATACAATGCTGTGGACGAGAAGGACAGTCTTTAATTTATTAGTTAGGTGGTAGCCTGAGAGCCCGTCGCTTAATTTTTAAAAAAATAATTATAAAATTAATGTACTTTTCGAGTTCAACATTGTATTTCATGTAGTAAACTGTAGTGGGAATACTTGTATCTATGTTGTACAATTTCATGTAATGTTGCACACTTGTGCTGAACTTACTATAGGGACAAATCAATTTAACGAAATTTGACCTGTTCGTAACTCAGGGTCACGTTGCTCTTGGCACCACTTTTCTTCACCTCAGATTGCCCAGTGGTTATCAATTTGCCCCAATAGGGCCTTATCATTTTATAAGAAGTGCCATGAAGTGCAATTTATTTCACATGCTATCATCCCCGAAATTAAGTTTTGATAATACTTTGTGTGCTATTACGTAATACAGCTACCATCTGCTGAGAAAGTTTTAATGAATTTCTTCGTCATATATGATAGAAAGGGAAGGGGAAAATTAATACCCATGTATAAGATTGTATTTCTACTGAAAGTATAAAAAACTTAAAGTGTAAAAAAAACTTAAAGTGTAAAAAAAAAAAAAAAAAAAAAAAAAAAAATTAAAAGGATGTAGGCCCATAACCAGATATTTCAAAGGGGGGTCTCTTTCTGAAAAAGTAGACCTTTTACCCCGAAACCTTTGTATAGATTAAAATTTGACATTCAGACAAAAGCTGACCTTTTCCTGAAAAAAAGGGTGGTATGTTCTAATCTCTCGAACCCCACCTGGCTATGGCTTTGGGATGCAGCAACGGCTGGTCATTAGGATTAAGCCAATTAGAGAAAAGGCATGGGTTACATTTGTCTCAAGTGATGTGTGACAAAACCATAATGACGATTTTTCTTGTAATTAAACAACATACAAGCATTGAGTCATTACTCGTACATAACCTTTGTATCAGGTTGAGACAAATACATTTAAAAATAAAGACTACAATTATAAGAAAAACTGTAACTTCCATAATAATTTTTGTACCTCTGTGCCCACAAAAATGGGAGCAGGATCAGCACTATTATTCTTAATAATGTCTGTACCAGGATTGTCAATAGCTACAATTTATAAAAATCTTTTAAAAAATATTGTCATAATTTTCAGCTTTTTCAATTATATTGAAGAGACCATAGGGTGCATTCCCAGTGACAAGTTTAGAAGCTGAACACACACAAAAGGTAATCACCCCCTAGCTGCCTGAGGAAGCATGTCATTCAGTTTATCTGATTGCATTCAGTGACAGGCCTACCCAACTACCAGACTCGGCACCGAATGATCCTGAATTCACCTGTAGATCGGACCACACTACCCGTTTTCAAGGTGTGTATCAGTACGCATTTCACAGTATCAGACGCGACACCACTCTTGCCTAGTACGCGATGTGATAGTGACGATTCTCAGCGGGGTTGAAAAGTATTGCATCACCACTCAAAATTTGTTCGGGGTATGATACTGTGAAATGCGTACTGACTCACACCTTGAAAACGGGTAGTGTGGTCTGATCTACCGGTGAATTCTGGATCATTCGGTGCCGAGTCTGGTAGTTGGGTAGGCCTGAGTGAGAGTCCCCGCTGAGTTGGATCAATCTATGTAGGATGATAGTTTTGAATTGCACCCATAGAATGTTAATCCATACGGTTTTGCCCAAGTACATCCTACAACTTGAACATACTGAACATAATGTCAGATAACAAGATCTGTAGACACATTGCATGTCAAATATAACCTAGGCAAAGTGCAAAACTTTGCACGCCCATAAGCTGAAGGCTAGGAAATACTGGGAAATAGATGAGTGCCTCCAGCAAATTCAATTAATTTCCAATACAGTAAGTGGATTTTTTTCATATCTGAAACTGCCTTATCTTTAAGCATGAAATTGATCTACTAAGCAGAATCACAGCCAGAGTTAAACATGTGAAAAAAATTGATATCGTAATGATTTTTCTCATTTGAACAGATGCATTTTCCTATGGGAATAAAATGCTGACTTTCAATTGAGTTGTTCGACTAATGCTTTTGTGCCAACCAAAGGGACCTAAAGAGTGGATTATTAAGTGTCAGTTTTTTAAATCCATTTTCTTTCTTATTTTAAATAGAGTAATATTCGCTCCAGTAAACATTTTATCAAAAACTCTATCACATGCATCTTTACCCAACGCTTCACTAAATCTAATTCCACTTTTGACAGTTCAGTTAATGTTTTATACTTTATTATGTAATCCACATATTTAATATGTTTTTATGTATAAAATTTTATATGTAAGATTCATTTTTAATATGAAATAAATCAAATCAAATCAAGTTAAATTTTAGATGGAATATACTGGTATATTCTTTGGGCCACAGTACCAGTACTGTCTATTTCTTATCTCTAAACAAGTTTATTCAGGTCACAGACGTTACATAAATATTCTAAGTTCATTATGTAAAACTGAAGTTGCATTTTAAAGTCCAAATACCAACTACAAATAGTAAAAATCACACATGGCTGTCATCTCAATCGGCTGAAGAATCTACACACTATGTGAAATCACTTTTATAATAGCACAATGGTCTTCTACAGCAGTGTGCCCCTGAATAAAAAGGTGACGGGTGCAGGGAAAAACTAGCCTTGCCAACAACAGAGTTGTTTTGGCATTGAATATCATTTAACATTTAATTTACCTATATATCTCTTATTTTTCCATCTAAGTTATAAATCAAAAATATTTATACTTGTCTGTAGAATATTCTGTATTCAAAAATTCGTTTTAACTATTCAATTTTCTCTGCTCTTTTGCATCATGGTCGATAAGTATAATTACGTAGGCTGTTACTTGTGGTTTACGGATTCACCATTAAGGTGACAGCCGGGTGTAAACAAAATGGATTGAAAACTAAAACACAGTAAATTTGTATTCCAAGCAGATCTGGTACTCATTTAGTGTAAATCTCAGCACCTGTATACGCATGTTTTAACTTACCAGAAAAACAACTTGGACAGCCAGTTTGCTTTCTGGAGAGGATTCGTGTTCACATGTTTCGTGCCTTCGTCCATCGTGCAACGACTTCACGTAACTAGTAACGTTAGTTTCACGTTGTCCATTTCACCTCCTCAGCACTTGAAACGACCTTGACCCAGAATGGTTTTATAATCTCTAAACTTTTTACGGTGTTCGGCTTGTCAGTTAATAGACATGGATAAAGTATATAATTACATTATTCGTTGTACTGAATATAGATATTTATTGTAAAACAATTGCACCGATTGGTATTCAATGTATTGTTTTTTGTAAATTGCCTGGGTTTAAGGATATAGCACCGTGAAGCGCCATATTTCAAAGCTGAGGTCGGTCGTAACTCGCTCAGGTTCACATTAGACGTTGTTTAACCGCTGATGTTTTAAAAAGAACTCATTTATATGAAGGTTAGTATTTTCAGCAGTACCAGATCATGAAAAACGTTTGCCTACCTATTTATAATGAGCATTGAATTTGTGCAGTTACTGGTACTTTTTATTAGAAATACATGTGCACTTTACCTTGTAGAAGTATCGCTACAAGTATCAGTTATACCATCACTTTCAAGAGTTAAATATTGCCTGTTGAGTATTGACAACTTTCTCTCATTTTTGGGTTGGCATACCCTTGTTAATCTCTCTCTCTCTCTCTCTCAGCTACAAATGTAAAAAGGTACCAAATTATAATTATTCATCTTTTAAGTGTTTTAATATTTATGTATTTTAGGTATTGAGTGGAGAATAAAAGTAATATATTGTTTAACCTTATTGTGATAAGCAAGGGCGTCAATGGATTTATGGATTTAAATTAGAGGGAAACAAATTGGCAATTCAAGGACAGGTCAATTCAGTAACCAAAATGTCAGACAGTTCATCAGCAACGATAGCAGATAGCACATTGAAGGACTCACAATCATCATCGCAGATGTATCAGAGCTCCTTGGCTATGACTGAAAAAGTGCTCGGAGAGCAGGAATATGAAACACAATTCTTTGGTTTTACCCCGAAGTCCTTTACTGATGGAGGTACGATGGTTTGTTGTCCAGATATATAATATGTATTCGACAATTTAAGAAGCAGTTATGTTAGTGTAGTGGGCATGTTTATTAACTTATTTGCAACATGGTTATTACATGAATCTTTTTCTTTAACTTGTCAAAAGTAAAACTTAAATGGTTCTTAGTTGACATAACAGTACATCTGATTCATTGCAAATATTTGTTACTTGCAGAAATAAAAACTGTTCATATGAGATTGATATTTTCACAGTAAATACACTGTAAACAACTCACTGAAGTATAAATTAAATATTACCACCAAAATGGCATTTATCGCAATTATTTTGGAATCTGTGCTTGCCATCAGACCACATGGACCTTCATAGATGGCTATATCTCCATAATAATCCTGCAAGTTTACAAAAAAACTTTTTTAGGAAAAAAAACATGGACTTATTTTGAATATCAAAATGGATTTTTTTTTTTTTTTTTTTTTTGCCAAATAGAATTTGTTTTCCCTCTTATTATGCATTTTGATTATATGCATCTTTCCAAATACTCTGATGCAAAGCATGTGAACCACTTGGGTCAACTCCCTCATTGTTCTCAAACTGGCAAATCATTGCTCTTGAAAATTAAAGCACAAGGAATGTATTAGGCCAATTTTAACTTGTAGTTCCATTAATGACTTTACTGTTATATGTACTGTATAAATGTCAATGTTTGTATTGTGTTTTTCAGTTTATAATGCTGTGAATGAATACCTCACAGACTGTCTGGAAGTGGTAGAGAAATACATCATTCAAGAGGTATATTTATTTACTTATTTTATTTGATATCCATGTGATGACAACAGTGTCAGTGTACTAATGAGACAGGAACCTTTCTTCATACAGTTTTTGAAAATCAACACAACTAAGTTAGGGGCGGATTTAGGCCATCTTCTGGGTCTTCTGGAAGACGGTCAGATTTTCAAGTTAACATTGATGAGTACCTTTTTTTCTGTTGGAAAACAGTCAAAAATGGAGAATAGATCTACAAAGATTTAGAAGACTGTCAGAAAATATCTCTGGATCCGCCCCTGTAAGTTACTTATTACATTGGAGGATCTATGATGTTAAGAAGAGGGAAAGAGTTTTTGCCTCCCTCCTACAAATACTCCCTGTATAATAAAGTTTAAACATTTCAGTTCAGTGCCGTCATCCCAGCAGAAACAGTGAGAGAATGTACACAGCAGTTGCTGCCTGTGTTTGTGAAGACTTTTGACAAAGCATTTGATAAGTTAGAGGTGCAGTTGGTTTTTAGACTTTGAAAGAGCATTTGATATTATTTATGTGCGTTTTGTTTGTACAGTGCATTTGGTTTAGAGATTATTCTGACAGTAGGGAGTTTGATACATGGCACATAAGCATATAAGACCCCATTCCATCCAATAATAGTTTATCTATAACATTACATTTACATGTTTGAAAAATAATTATTAATTCGCACAATTACATCCACTCTTAAATCTTTAACTCTGATTAAAGTGTCCCCTCTTAGAGGAATATATTTATATTCTTTATATTTTTTGTGTGTACATTCAACAGCACCATTTTCGACTTTCCATTTATGTATGATGGCTTTAAATGGGAAATCTTTAAATCATCTCTTTTCAGAATTATCTTCTCTGTAACATATTTCACATTCCCAACAATGTGTTACTTCCCGAAGACAAGCCCCAAGAGTTTCAGTATACAGAGCTGGAGCAGGAAGAGATCGACAGGGACCTGGAGACACTGAGACAGAAGATCAGAAATGTAAAGTCCTATTTACACTGGATGGCGTCCTTTCTGAGTCCCCATTTGAGAGTTTAAAAAAAAAATGCTGACAATTGGCTGATCATTGAGCATTCATTTTGCAACCAAAGTGATGCTTATGCCTCCTTTCTACGACCACGGCAATGCCAGTTTAATGGTCGCACAAAGGACGCAGAAATGATGCTGCTCAGTGTTAGGGGGGTTTAAGGGTCTGTTTTTGGCCAAATTTCAGCAAATTTTCAATTGTTTACGTATATTCTCTTATATATCCGCCCTACTCCCTGTTTACTCACAAATAGTGGTTTTTACCTGAGGATGACATATATAATATATTTAATATCTTTTGCAACACATATGTTGAACATTTTGTATTGGAAGGTTCATAGAGAGCATTCACATTGAGAAGAGCCGAGGTCTAGCAAGGCCGAGACCTAAATATGGCGGACCTACATGAAAGGAAGACTGCGTAATCCTTTAATGGTCTCTCAATGACATTCATTGACATCCATATTTAGTTCTCGGCCTTGCTAGACCTTGGCTCTTTTCGATGTGAATGCTCCCATAGTTTTTATCTTTGATAGATTTGATAGTTTTGGATGTCAAGTAAAAACCTTGGGTTTCATTTTAGAGACACAGTGTATATATGTTGGGGAATTATTTATGAAAGTAAATGAGTAGCCTCAAAGTGTGTGCTCTAGAAACTGTTAAATCTGCCAACAAACAAGGTTCTGCTTGCATGTTTCTGTTTGTGAGAGGACACATCGGACAGAAAAAAGTGATTTCAATATGAATCTGGGTCTCCTAATATATTTGAAGTCATTTTTATTTTGTTATTTACATTTTCCCTAACCACAGGTCTGCTCACAGGGAGCACTCTCTAGATTGAAATAAGTATTTTAATCCTGTTTTCAGGCCAAGTATGTAAATGCCTGTTTGGAGCAGGAGTTGAAGGACATAGCCACAGTTCAGGAACAGTACGACAAGATGCTGACTCTGCTGGAAAGGCTGGAAAAGACAACTATGTCTGCAGGAGGTAGAAGGAACAATCTCTCTTTCTCTTTCTCTCCCTCTCTGCTATTTCAACCCCCCCCCCCCCCCCCCTTGAAATTATATGATAAAGAAATTTGCAATATATTGACAGGTTTTTGTGATTTTGCGGATGGAATAATTTGATTGGTTATTTTACTCGGATAGGAGCTGTCCAAATACCCCTCCCCCTCCATACATGCACATGTACACACACATACACGTGCAGGCACACGCACACACAATTGTCTCTGGTTATGGCCTTATTCTGTTACTCTTCAGCCCATTTTTTTTAGAACTTAGCCCAGGGGCAAGAATGTTCCAGTAATATCCTACTATTATCAGTGATGAGCTTTGTGTATTGGATCTTGATATTTATTTTCAAATTTGTAAAAGAAATGTTCATACTTATCACTGTAGCCATCGTTTATACTGTTTCTATGATCAATTCCTTAATTTTCAGTCCCTGACTTGAAGGAAAGTTTGGTATTCACTTGTGACAAGGTTCGGGCACTGAACATAAGAATACAGGAACTAAAACCGCTTTCGCCACCACGCTTTAAGGTAATGGAATACATATTTTTATTTATAGTTATGTAAATACATTGCTTTGTCAGTTTATAATAATATTTTATGAAACAATTCAGTATTTGTATTCATTTGTTTTTATGTACAGACACAGATGTGTCTGTACATATTGCCATCACCTGCGTCTGTCGTCGCCGTTCATGTCATGTCGCCGTCGCCGTCGCCGTGCACTTTCAGCGTTAACACCATAAGTGGAAGACACTTTTACTTTTTGGCTTTATATTTATAGAGCTGACTAATATTCATTAAACGCAGGTCAAGTTCGAAAANGCCTTGTTTTAATTAAGTCTAATTTCTTTTCTTTCATAATTATTCCAACTGTGGTTGTATAAACATTTTGTTTTCTTTTTAAACAGCTTCACCATGATGACACGTCCATGAGCAAAATGAACAAAAGACTTCGGAAAAGTTAGCGCAGGACGGAGACATCCAGTCCAAAATTTTGATTCACAAATCTGTATACAAAAGGAAATGTAATCAACTTTAACAACTGAACAACATTCATAAAGATTTTCACTAGAAAGCTGGAGATAACATGTGGAAAAAACTTGAGATATTGCATGTAAAAGTTGGTTCAGATGGTCCATTGAAGATAAGGTCTAATGTGTATTTATTTATTATGTGTAGTAAATATAGTTAACATTGGGGATTGACTGCCAAATGGACAACATGAAAAACATTACGTCCCTTTTACTACAACAAAATGGCCTCCATAAGTATGGTTCTTTACGTCTGTTTGTGTGTGTGTGTGTATATATATATATATATATATATATATATATATATATATATATATATATATATATATATATATTTGTAAGATAATGTAGAGCTTCCAAGTACATGGAAGTGATTAATTAAATAGAATAAAGCATCACTTGACCTGTACTTTTAGTATAAGTCTCAGAGTTGTGGTAATGTTTAATTTATATGCATTATGATTACATTATTTATATTTTCAAATGTGTTTAGGGCTGAAAATTTGCTGAAAGAAAGAAACTAAAATTATTTACTTGGTAACTCTTGACCAAATGTTTATCGCTCCTCATTGTGTATTAACAGGTGACATTTATATCTGTTTTGTAAAGTTTTAATCATCACAAATATTGAAATGAAAATATAGTTTCTTACATTGAAATTTCACCTAAATGTCTGTTATCAAAAAGTAACTCACTTGTAATGTGATAAATCACAGAACCATGTTATATTTGAAACAAGAAAAAACAAAACAATGAATCAAAAAAATTAAGCCTGAGGAGAATGAAGAAAAATAAAAAATAGGATAGGTATTAGCTTGACTTTTCATAACTCCAGTGTGAAGGGATGGTGCATGCATGTTCTATCTGCATTCTGATACTATCATTCAATTAAAGAAACAAATTTTAAAGGACTATCGACATAGTTAAATATATTGTATAGAGTTAATCCAGGAGGGAATGTGGGCCATTTCCTTTTTTTGATACCCATGTTTTTCATTGTATTACAAGCCAAACCACACACGTAAAATAAATGTGTACTTTAATTTGAATTGCATTTCTTATGTACTCTTTGTATTGAAAATTACAAATGTAAGTGCTAAGGCATACTTGTGCTATACAAGATCCAATCTGCAAATGAGAGAAAATGGGTCTTTTTAACTTTACACTGTGCTATGCATTTTATTATCTCAATATTCAAGCTATTTATTGATTTTAGTCCATTTTATCTGGACTTTATCTTGATTTTAGTCCTCTTTATCTGTCCATTTTACCCTTGTAAAGTTTACCTATCATTTTAAATCTAAATGGATTTTTAAAAGGCTGTAAAGAAAATATGTCATTATCAAAATATTTGACTAAAATCTTTTTTAAAGATTAAAATTGAATAAACAAATGAAAAAATCCGTAGATCTACTGACGGTCAGGTATGATTTATTATTTATTTAATCGTTGCAGCAGTTGAGTTAGCTGTAACTGCGCAAATAAATATCGATTCATTGCGTCAGATGAGACGGTGTACCAAGAACCCGCATCGTCACAATCCTGCAGAACAACCGTGCCAGCCCGGTGATAAACAACGATGGCGACTGATCACGATCGCGGCGATTGTAGCTGGATCCCAATCATCGATTTAAAGGCGTTTGACATCACAAAAGAAGAGAATGAAGTCGACAGAAAAGATCTGGAAAAGCTTGCTAATGATGTGTTCAAAGCTTTCAGCACCATAGGATTTGTTTATGTCAAAAATCACGGAATTCCCCAAGATCAGGTTAGCAAGCACGCTGCCGGCTGTTCAGCGGTTAAAGGCAGTGGCTTATGCAATTTGACGAAAGTGACGGTGTTACTTTAATCAGTTTTACGTAACTGTTAATATTGTTGTATTTTTTTGCGAAGTCGAGTTGGAGTTTTTTGGCATTTAAATCATAACTAACAGTGCCAAGCTTATATAAGTTATATTTAGATGACCTTACAGAGTGGACGAGGGCAAGAAAATTGGGGGGGGGGGGGGGGGTACTCGATTTATGTTGCCTCCATTTTATCATATCAAGGAGCGGCAGGTGTGAGAAAATCAGATGAACTTGCAATCGGAGGACAGTTGGCTATCAGTAACGTTGAGATACACGAAGAGTTTATCTTGGTTCAAGGCTTTCGAGAAGTGAAGGGAGAAAGGGGGGGGGGGGCGAGCTGCACGTACGTGCGCCTGTCAGCGTTTGCCTCTCTGAAAATGAGTCGGATTATGGAATGATTATTTTGTGATATCTGGAGGCAATGCTTATCAAATGTATTAATTAATTAATGTATATATTCATTCCATTCATTTATTTGTTTGTTTGTCTATTTATTTATTTACAATAATAATAATAGTTATTATTGTTATTATTATTATTAAATCACGTGTTTTGCATTTTGGTGATTTACATTGGTACTGTTTGTTATGTTTTGTTTACTCTTAATTTTCATTTTTAGATGAATAAACCTTTACAGTTAACCATTATTATTCATTCACTTACATAAATTTACATCTTTCACCCCAGAAAGTTAAAGTCCTGATGATTATAGTTATATCAAAATGTATTGTTTCAAAGCCATGTCGGTAGGAGCACTGTTATTATCCAAAACATGTTAATGACAGCATACTAGTAGATCTATGCATTCAGAAAATTACTCATGAAAAAAAAGTTTTTTCAAACGGTTTCATTCCTCTGTATTTTCAGATTGACAATATATTCAGGTTGTCAGATGAATTTTTTGCACAACCACAAGAGACCAAAGATAAATTCATCCGTCCAATGTCTGATCCTGCTGCAATTGGTTACATTCCAATTGGAAGAGAATAGTAAGTTTTTTATTTATTTATTTATTTTTTAATATATATACAATACAGACACTTAACTAGTGATATCACTTACACACATACACAAAAAGACCATACACAATCATTTGATCCACGGACACACTAGTCCACGAATCAAGTATGATCAAGTATGACAATTAATTCCTGCCTAGCTCCCACGCTTGCCGTCCCAGCAGGGGCAGAGCAATAAATTCTTAACACGCCATTTTAGATTTGCAGACAAGTTAGTCCATGGATCAAGTGTTTGTGAACGCAGCCAATCAGCTACCTTTCCACTCCTTACAAGTATCTGCAGTCACTTATTCTATAGATTTATGTAGAACTATTGATACTTTTTCCTCACGGAATATTGGAGAGAATTATAATGAAGTTTACTTCGGATAGGACACATACAAGTATGTAACATGGGTTACTGGGAGCTGCCGATGTGACCGAAAATTCCATTAATTGCTAGCTGGAAGAACATTTTCTTTGAATGACTGGCATTTTCATGGCATTTTAGAGTATTTTCAATCTTAGTTTGTCTTCATAGTCGTAGTGTTTACAGTCACAGTTTGATTTCACAATAGCTTTGAAATATGAATAAAAAACTCAAAAATGAACATTGTTCACTTAAATTGCATAGCTATTGTAAATATGAGAATTATCTATAGCTAATGAATCTATTTACACACATCATAGTTTTTTATTGAAACAGAATGTTCTGAACTTGTTTCTAGTTTGTCAGATGATGTAAAAATTCATTTGGACAGAAATATTTAAATGTTGATATATATTTCAATTTGAATTAGAAACACTTTGAAAATGTTGTGTTCTAAACACTTGATCAGCTCCTATTTTCATGGCTTTGCTCTAGTTTTGATGCCAACAAACCTGCTGACCTCAAAGAATCATTTGACGCTGTCCCAGGAAGTGAATATTCTCAGGTAAGAAAAATAAAGCAAGATAAAAGTTTATTTGCAGTCAAGATTTAGGGATATAGATAAGGATTTTATTGTTAATTTTGTGTCTGAAAAGCAATGCTATAACATGCATACATAGTAAAACACGAAGAAAGAAAGATAAATTTCAATATTACATGATTTATTGGCTGAGTTTTATTTTCAGTACTGGCCAAACATACCAAACTTTGAGGAGGATGTTGTAAAGTTCCACAGAACGTGTGCCAAGCTGGGCTTACGATTGCTCAAACTGATTGGAATGGGATTAGGACTGGAGGTAATGTGTATATATTTAGGTAGACCACATCTGTCTTGAAAAGTTCAAAATTGTTGGGGGAGGATATGAAGTGTGTACTTGATAATGCTCTGCTGGATCTTATTGTGAGGCTTCTGAAAGCAGAAAAGAAGTGGACAAGAAGAAGTGTTTGTTTCCTTTCAGAATGGAGTATTGTACACGTATTCAATCAAGTTGGGCAAACCAAATTTAATAAAACTCAATATTTTCTTTATTTCTTGGCTCACTAAAGTCTTGTTTCTATTAAAGTTGGGTTCACCAAACATTGTGATTTAGGAAGTCTAATAGAATCTAATGGCTAACCTCAAGTACAGTTCTGGTATATTAAAAACAACATAGGGGGTGCGTACTTAAAGATGTCAGACATACTCACTAGTCATGACTCCATTTAAGTTGGGTTGACCTTACTTAGTGAATCCTATCTCAGTTGGCTCTTTCAATATGATAAAATGGCTATAGGAAGCCTGTTGAATGGAAATGTTGGAGTCCGCAAAACTTCTGAAAGTCTGATATCAATGTAAGTGCCCAGTATTATAGTTTTTACTATAAAAATAATAAAATATTAATTTTTTTTTGCCTTTGAACTGGATGAATCATAATTTACATTCTTGTGACTTGAATGTGGACTTAGTTTACAAACATCAGTTATTTTTCAATAACTATGGAGCCAAATATTTTCATTCCTTTCGAAGTTGTACATGTACAATCCAATATCAGAAAAGAAAATCCAATCTAAAGAGATGCTGAGTGTTTTGATTGAAATACCCATTGTCACAAATATGTGACATTTTATAAGTCATATAGTAGTTGTGTACAACAACATTCACAGCATTTTTTTTTTTTTTTGTTTGTTTAAAAGATCAGAGAGAAAAGATAAAGTGAGAGATGAATGTGAATAATGGACAATTTTATAAGAAATGGGATTTCAAAATAAAATTGAATTATGTTATGGGAATACTATGTTATATATATATATATATATATATATATATATATATATATATATAGTAAATGCCATGTATCCATTTTTCTTATATTTGCCTTTGGCCGTCCTTAGCAAATGAGATGTACACTAGTTGAAAAAAATGATTCTGACTTCATGTATTTTTTTTTTAAGGGAAGTTTTTCTTTCTTTCTAGGTCTGCATATTCTTTGTTAAAGAACACCAAAAGTGAAAGTACAACAGTGAAAGTTTTCTTTTTCAGGACTCTGAATTTTTTGTAAAAGCACATGAAAAGATCAGTTCGAGAGCCAGCAATAACACAGCCATTTTGCGTCTTCTGCACTATCCGCCTGTGAAGGACGGTGAAGGTACAGGGAATTATGGGAAGACTAATGAGTATGGTGGGCTATCACTGAAAAGTAACACTTTTAAGGCATACAATGTGTATAAGACCTTTATACAGCTGAAAATAATTTTCCTGTTTTCAGGTTTTAATCTTTGATTCATTCTTGTATTAGAGATGGAAACTGGGGAATGCTACTTTTGACAATATACCATGAAAAATTAAGAGGGGAAAAGGATTGAAATTTCGCTGAAAAAAATTTATATGTTTTTTTTATTTTGATGTTTGAATGTCTATCACACATTGTATGCCTTTAGAAGAGGAATTTCAATTTTTTTGCCCAAAAAGTGGTTTTGAACCAGCTGAAACTGACCATGCATGTTTCTGATAATGATGATATAAATTTGGGAGATAGGTGGTCGTATATAACTAATATTTCTTTAGTGTTTTTAGTGACTGCTTTCCTATTGTGTCTAGCACTTTATGCTGTGGCATTACAAAAAACATTCTTTTAGTTGTAGCTAGAAGTCTTTTTTTTTTCTTGCTTACTAAGTACTGTTTGGTGGTTTTCAGTTCTGGCAATGCCATTCAAAATGTACATGAAAGAGTCAGACATAGAGCAGTTGCATGCTACTAATTTACTATTTTTGTTCTTATTTTTTATTAGGGCTTAATCTTTAGGTTCTCTAACATCTTTTTATACTCCCTGTTTTTTTTGTTTTAGGTGTGTTGCTCTATTAATATGCATGTGTTAAGGAATATCACATATTGCACTGCTTACCTTTTTTAGTGGAAAATGTGGGTTTTGTTATATTTGTGTGCTGTCTTATTTTCGTAGGACCAAAATGAGTTGCTTATGTGTCATACACATCTTGAAAAGTGGTGTAATAACAGCACAACGAGTTTGAGGCTTTTGACCTATCCTGCACGTACTGAAGAAGAAGGTAGCGAGGGCTTGAGAGCAGGCTTTGAAACATTGCTTCACTATAGAAAGTTCACTGTTATCCAAAAAATTAACTGCTGGGAAAAGTTACGTTTCCAGTCTGCGACATTAACACTTTCCCATGCAAAATGCCAGTTAATTAAAAAGATTGGTCAGTAGTACTTAAATGAAATTTATTTGGTTACTGGCCACTGTTTCTGATTTGGCCCCATAGATTCTTTGACCCTGTTGTCCTGAAGGACCAGTTGAAGCCATTGGTTTTCAGAATCATTTATATTTTAGCATAGTATGAGTTTCATTAAAATCACTTATAAGTACAGGAGCAATCAAATTGGCAATTGTAAGTGCTTTATATGCAGCCTGGCTTACTTTGCACTGTTGGTTGTCGCAGTTACGTATGTGCTTGGCAAAATATGTATAGACTAATGGTGTGCTTTGGGTTACTTGGAACAAGGTTCTTCCAGCTCTTGATCACATGATTACATAACTTGTTGTTATCCTATTTTTTGTTAAAGAAAGCTTCCATATGCTAGATAGCCAAGGAGGTTTTGAAGGGGCTCATTTACATTGAAACTATTGGTCTAAGTAGATTGATCTGTTAAACCAGTTGCAGGTGATAGTCTCTTAGGAGTTGTATCCATCTACAGAGGTTCATGGTTTCAATGAGAAAGAGCTCAAACCTATTTCATATTTCTACATTCCTATTATCTCTCTTATTTACACCTTTTGGTGATCATTTAATGTAGCCATTTTTAGATATGCATCTATATAACAGTTTTCTCAAGTGTTATGTGTGATTTTAACAATAAGGAGAATAACACAACATTTTCTGAGTGACATTTATTTCTTTTGTTTTCAGACTTTCTGCCAGAGCAGACACGCTGTGGTGAACACACGGATTACGGCTCCATGACTCTGCTCTTCCAGGATGACACTGGAGGCCTGGAGGTAATTGTGTTGGGTGTGACATTGTGCGAGCTGTGTTAGGTGTGACAATTTGTCAGCTGGGGCAGTGTGTTAGGTGTGACAATGTGTAACCTTCTGTAATATTGTTGGGACAGTGTGTGATGGGTGTGAGAGTGTGCCACCTGTGTAAGATGTGACAGTGTGCCAGCTGAGACATTTTGTTAGGTGTGATAATATGTCAGTTGGGACAGTGTGTTAGGTGTGACATTTTGCCAGCTGGGACAATGTGTTAGATGTGACAATGTGTCAGCTAGGGCAATGTGTTAGTCGTGACATTTTGCCAGCTGGGACAATGTGTTAGGTGTGACAATGTGTCAGTGTGTTAATTGTCATATAGTGACATTTTGTAATATAGTGACACTGTGAAATGGTAACCTTCTGTAATATAATAACTCTTGTGATACAGTGACACTGATGTAGTGACAATGTGATATAGTGACAATTTGTTAGGTGTGACAATGTGTCAGCTGCACCTGACAATGTGTTCATTTCATTTTGATATCTTAATTCTTTTTTCAAACTTCACCAGGTCCAGACAGTAAATGGGGAGTTCAAGCCAGCCACGCCCATACCAGGCACTGTGGTGGTCAACATAGCCGACATGATGCAGAGGTGGACAGCGGATGGACTCAAGTCCACTGTGAGTACATGTCCACTACACTGTTGTTTTCTGAAGCCTTGTTCCCTGTTAGTGTTGACTGACTAATTGTCTTTAACTGTGTGCTATCTACTTCTCTGCTTCGACTAAGTGTTTTGGTGCCTCATTTTGTATGAGGGTGTCATATTTAGAAATTTTAGTGTTCTTGCATTGGTTTTGATGTATTTTTTAGTTTAACGGTAATTGTTTCTTAAATAAACAGTGGTTTTTGGATTTTTAAATTCATTGATATGGTTATGTTTTATTGTATCTTGATGATCTGAACCAGAGAAATTAGTTCTTAAAGTTTGGAAATGATGTTCTGATCAACAAGAAATTTTTTTTTCTTTACTGGACTCACTCTAACTTTGTCTCTTAACTTGAGCATTTTAAATGTAATCTCATTTTCTAATTTACTTTGTTTTACATCAGTGGTTATAAAAAACAAGGTATTTCTAATTTTCCACTGCTCAAAAAATGATTTAATGCGTCTTTAAATTTACAAAAGAAACCAAAAAAAAAAAAAGCAAATGGACTGTCCATACACTCACCAGAATACCCAACAGTGGCTTTGGTAACCTATTTTTTGACCAGCATTTTACACATGAACAAGATTGATTAAAATGCTCATTTCTTTACTATTTATTCACATTGGAGTGAGTCCAGTTTTATGTTGTGCTCTTCTCAATTGGCTTTAAGAACAGGTTTAACAAAAGAAAAAATGTTTTTGATCATATTTCAGAATGTAGACTGTTGATATGATTTTCATATTAATAATAATTGTTAATATGTAATCCCTCTAAAATCCTGCTAGATGCAATGTTTGCTACCATTCACCATTCACTGCCAAATGTTCGCAAGCATTGTGTACCAGCTTCCTTCCTTCACATTTCCATGCATTGTCACTTCACACCTCTAACTTTCAGTGATTAAGTTGTACTTATCACAAAATGTTAGATTGGTATACATTAATTATGGCACATGCCCTTCTACGAAAGCACCCAATCCTCACACACACACAGTCAGTCTGGTAAGTCTGGTAAGCTGAACCATGGTAGTTTGACAATGGAAAAAGCTGGCACACATCAAACCTTAAGCTCAGATTAGATGCACATAGGATGGCAGAGGTTTACCTGGTTGTAAAAAAGTGTCTACATCCTGAAGAAAAAATTGAAATCATTTTTTGTCAAAACTGTTCTGTAAATGGCCTTGACCTTTCAGTGTTGTGCTATTCTTCCTTTTTCTAGCCCCACCGTGTTGTTCCCTCCAATAAGAGGAAGGCACGTAGAAGTGTGATCTATTTTATCGACCCTGATCGCTCTACGATTGTGAGGCCCCTAGATGGGTCTAACAAATACCCTCCCATCTCTTATGTTAACTACCTATCACAGAGATTTGCCGACACGGGAATGCTTGAAGGAAACGAAGTCATTAACACAGCTGCATAAGTTTGCATGTAAGATTTTTTTTTGTTGTTTTGTCTTAAAAAATCCTGACTGTAGGCTTAATTTGCTTTTTATGGCTTTGTTGCGCTTTGTTACTGTTGCTTCGTTAGCATTCCATTTGATGGTTGAGGCATTTGTGATTTTTCTCAACAATTTTGCAGGGATTTTTGAAAAATTATTTATTTATCAAATTATAAATTTGTTTATACTTTCACTTGCTTCTGTTTTGGAGCATGAAAAAAACATCACTTTTAGCTTAGTTCTTAGCTTTTTCTTTCCCCTTAACTAAATTTTAATCTGCCCCTTGGGTTTTTATGAGTTGATATGAATTTAACATCATAAGTCATTATCACTGTACTCACTGGGAGAACCAGATTTTTCTAAGATGGCACAGAGAGTTTTGTCAAGTTTGTGTTATCACCATTGTAATTTTGTAAAAATTATAGTTAAATTTTTTTGTTCTTTTTTTTAAATATTCACAGTAGTAAACAAAATCCTACATGTTTTGCCTGTGCTTGACCCACTGACCTTAACCAACTGACCTTGACCCACTGACCTTGACCTTTTCATTGTAGTGTCACAGAGTGATCCCCCATAGGAAGACCAAACCAAGGCGTTCTATGGCATTTTTCATTGATCCTGATGGGGACGCAGTGATTGCGCCTTTGGACAATTCCAAAAAGTATCCACCAATAAAGTTTATAGACTACTTCAACAAACGTTATGAAGAAACCGGAATGACTCGGGAGGAACATATACAGTAGATGGTTTATATCTAATGAGACAATCATGTTACTTGCCTGATTAGATTTTGACGTTGCCTAACATTGTCTTCAGGATTATGCCAAGATTATTTGTTTATTTGTATTGATAGTACTGAAAATGTCAGGATGTTTTCTCTTGAAAATTATGATATTCATAATTGTTTTAATTTGACAAGGTAAATAATCCATCCACACTGTTGATGATGTTGGTAATATAACTGCTGGTATTTGAAGAAAGTGCTTGTTTCACTAACACCTTTGGACCATTTGTACCATTTTTCTTTAAAATTAAAAAAAAAATTAAACCATTGAAAATACTCTGTTGTGTCTGTGCCTATAAAGTTATAGTGATTTTATTGGTTTGAAAGCTGTATATACAGGATTTATATTTGATGATTGATATTGCTGTATGATATTATCTGGGTTGTTGACTTTTTTCCCTACAAGTGGCATTTTTGGCCACTATTTTGGCTTCATAATTCTGTGAAAGTTAAGTGTGCAATTATATTCTTTTGGTTGCTTTGAAGGTTTATGATTTGAATTATTAGATTAAGTTTTTGAAATTATTGTAAAGCTTTTGGCAAGCTTTTTTTAAACCAATTATTATTTTAAATTCTGAAGTGTTGGTAAAAAACATAATGGCAGTTTTAAGCTATGCTGTATATATTTTTCTTTCATTTACCTGATTGTCTTATACCAAATTTAAGCCAATATTTAGGCATTTTTTCAAAGTGGCAATATTTTAATTTGTTTACTTTTTTTGTTAATAAGTGATTGTGGAAAGACTGAAAAACGTTTGTAAAATTATTAGTTTCATTCATTGTTGGATGGGAGCTGTTGAATTATTCAGATGAAAGTGTCACATTGTTGTTGATCAATTGGGAATAAAGCAGTAGGTTGATTGGTTACTTGCACATGTACTATTTGTTTATTTAATATATTTTGGAAATCTGAATACTTTTTATTCAAGTTCCTGAACATAAGCTAATAAGAGCAATGGGGGGGGGAGCAATTTTCTTCATGTAATGTTCAATTTGGATAAGGGAATGACACTTTATATGTGTAAAATATCACGCAGCAATTTGTTTTCTTTTTAAGTATTCCCTCACCTTCTCTTTTATTTGTCCTTTTTGTTTATTCTTGTTGCAGTCCGTGAATTAGTTCTAGTATTTATTTATTTATTTATTTATTTATTATTATTATTATTTTTTTTTTTTTTGAAGAGCTTTAACGTTCAGGTTAGCCGAACATACATGAAAAGCTGCGTGGTTCACACAGGCACTGTGTTCAGTTCTGCTTTAAAATCTTTAGTAACAGTACGCTCTAGGACAACCAAGATTTAAACGTTAGAATTTATAACACCGACGTTTGGGCCTACTGTATGGGGAACAAGCGTCCTGTCTTTCTTATTTCAAAAATATTAAGAAAGTATGTGGACCCACTTTGACGCACCACGCCTTACAGAGCTGACAAAACCAAGCGACTACAGAGCAGAAAATCTTATCACAGTTTGTTTTGTGATGCCTTTCTCTTCTTTCAATGAGGTAATTTTACAAGAAAAGCTGTCACCCATGTGTTCCGAAACGGCTTATGAATGTCCGTTCACAACGGTCGAAACTAAACGACAAGAGCACCTTCGTTACAGCAGAAATTTACCTGCTTGTGTCATTTTGTTTTAATTTGTGATGCTTTTCTTTTCTTTCAGCGTAGAAATTTTACAAGACGTTCTTTCATCTCGGTGAAACTAGGGCGTAGATACATTTACAGGATTTATTTTAATCATGTCCCCGCACAAGACGGTTCGACGGGTTCCGTCTAAAACGGCCGAAAGTAAATGACGGGAGCACCATACTTTCTGCAGAAAATTATTTGGTATTGTTTTGTGATGCCTTTGTTTCCTTTCAAGTTGGGTGGGGGTGAGGGTGGGGGTGGATTTTATAAGAGACTTGGATCTGAAACGTCCCTGGATATTTACAACCGCATGAGGAACAGATGTTTGAATTCCAAGGGTTCAAATGACATTGTTCAAAAAACCGTTATTAAGTCACGCTTCAGAAGTTGTTTAATGATAAGTTTTGGAGATTTAGCTGCTGTTTCCCGTTTTTCCGTATTTTATATATACCCATTTTCACCACATTATTTTATACGTTTTGGGGTTGTTGTTCCTATAAAGGATATGTGTAAGCCTACTTTACGATAACAGAATACGCTATCATCGAAGATAATGTATTCTTTTTCTCGTGTGCCGATAGAGGTCACTGACAGCATCGCGCACATCGTGAATTTTGAAATTGATTTTTTTTCTATATTAAGGCAGCTGTCGATGTCATTTCAATTTTAAGGCAAAGTATTGAGTCTCAGGGTGCATCTTGTTAAGGTTTGATTAAGTTGATGAGTTAATTGATTGATTAATTAATTATTTGCTCAAAACGTTACGGACATGTCATTTAACCGACATTTCTGATAGGCCTAGCCCAGGTGGTCATCGCATTTTAAGGCTTCATTCACATGCAATGTCTATTTTCTAAATTCTATTTTCTATTCGCGGTATGTCTTATGATCACGGTCTGTGCCCTGAACATCCCGCGGCGTAATTACTGGCAGCGCGAGCCAGTTACTATAAGTTACTATAAGTTTTCTGATGAGTTTTACCCGCACGCAAATGCAGTAGTTTCGAAGTAGCAAAGAAGCATTAACGCAGTAGTGGTGTGGAGCATATTTGCAGTAGAAATGCAGTATAGCCTACTGCAATTCTACTTCAAAAATTACATAGGGTTGTACAGAGGAACAGCATAAATGCAGTAGATTAGCAGTATGATAGAAGCATGTTTCAAATATGCTAATTAGCTCCCACATCGAAGCAGATTTGAAGCATGTTTACAGTATGATTGCAGTATTCTACTGCGCTGGAGTATCTACTTCGTTTTCGTGCGGGTTAGCGATAGTCTAAAATATAGGATTTTTCGTACTATTTACCGTGATGATCATCTTAAGTTGCACAAATTATGTTGGTAGCTATATTGATCAACTTATAGAAATGATAAATACATCATTAGACATTTATCTCTGCATTTATTTATTTATTTATTTATTTATTTATTTATCATGAATAAAATATTGAAAACGTACACTCAATGTTTATTTCTTTTTAAATTTTAATTAAAATTCTTAATTCTTTTTCCTTTTTCCTTTTTTTTTTTTTTTTATTTCTTTAAGGTTCCTTCAAATTTCCATGCGATCTTTTCGGATATTTCAGTCCTGTAGTCCAGGCTTTGGAAAATCTTGATCAACAGAGACTTGGACATAATAACGAATCGTTATTATGTTCAAGCTCGAGAGCATCTTAATTAATTTATGAGAGATCACAGAGTCTAAGTCGAAACGGAAAAGTGTTTGTAAACTGTGTAAACCACACGGGTTACGGAAANGCGTTTTCGTGTGGGTTGGGATTCGAACAAGCAAGACGTTGATCTCTCCTTCTTGTCATGGCGTGATGGCAGCGATTTTAAAAGAAACTCGTAACTTCTTACGTCAAAAATACACCCTGAGTGGAAAATTCATTTGATAATGGCGAGTGCAAGTTCACACAAAGCCCCAAAACAGTGGGTACTAACAAAGACTGAGACGATAGGATCATTCGAGAAATGGAAACAATATCTTAAGACGACAGCATTCCTGAGAGACAACGACGCATAGCACAGCAAAAGGTAACACAGTTAGAGTCTATGCTCAATCAAATAGCCAACTTTTGTCCTGTTATTTCACACGGATCAATTGTGAAAAACTCGACCAGTTTGAATTCTGTTTGGCTGTCTATCCGCTTACACTTTGGCTTTCAATCTACCGGCGCCCATTTCTTAGACTTTGCGCAGATAAAACTTGAACCCGATTAAAGGCCGTTTAATGGCGTTTGTAGAAGACAACTTACTCACCGCCGACGGTGGTATTGCTCACCATAACGAGGTTATGACTGACGACGAGGAAATTTCGCGTACTTTAGAAAACTTTGTTATGCTCACCTGGCTGAAATTAATCCATAAAGATTTGCCTTTGCTAGTGAAGGAAAGAAACGGAACAGAGTTACGATCTCTAACTCTCGCCTCAATCAAGCCTGAAATTTCTCAAGCTTTAGATTCTTTATTGGATCAATTGAATTCTCACGAGGAAATTCGTGCCATGAGAGCAATTACAAAGCAACAAGCCAGAATTTCCGCTCCCTTGAAAGAACGCGGTACTACGTTCAACGCGAAACGGCGCTCATGCCCACTCTGTTAACAAGCCGGTCGACAACGCTACGATCATTTTCTCAGCACTTGTAAATTTTTACCCGAACAAGACAAACTTTACATCACCAGGACTTCACTCTGCTGCCGTAAAGTTAGATCCTGATTTGCTATTGACACCAGAGGACAAAAATGATTTCCAGAGACTACTCGTTTCATACGACAATGTTTTCAGTCCGTCAATCCCTGGATACAACGGTGCTATGGGACCTTTCAAATCAGTGGTAAACATGGGTCCTACTCAAACACCCCCCCCCCCAGAGGAAGGGCAGGATTCCCCAATATAGCAGAAACAAGCTTGTCGATCTACAAGAGAAATTTGCTTCCGCAAAACCGGAAGATGTACATTGTAGGTGTGAATGTCGAATACCTGAATCCTTCGTTTCTGGTGAAAAAGAGCAACGGACTATTCCGCTTGGTTACTGCTTTCAACGAAGTTGGAAAATATTGCAAGCCTCAACCGTCTCTTTTACCTGATGTAAATTCCACAATACGTAATATTGTAATATATATACGTAATCGGAGGATGGAAACACATTATCACCACTGGCTTATCCAGTGCCTTTTATCACATTCCGCTGGATAAAAAATCCATGAAATATTGTGGAGTAGCTACTCCTTTCAAGGGAGTTAGAGTCTACACACGTTCAGCAATGGGAATGCCTGGTTCGGAAACGGCATAAGAGGAGATGATGTCACGTGTCCTGGGTGACCTTATTATGAAAGGCGTTGTTTGCAAAATTGCCGACGACCTTTACTGTGGAGGTCAAACTATAAAAGAACTGATGGAAAATTTCCGACAGGTTCTTCGAGCTCTCAACAAATGTGATCTCCGTCTTTCTCCGACCAAAACCGTGATTTGTCCAAGGGAAACAACAATCCTTGGATGGACTTGGAGAAGCGGCTTCCTTTCTGCCATGCCTAGGATGCCTATAAAGCATTTGCACGCCTACTTCCTGGTTGTGCCTCGTTGCTTGCTCCCTAGACAGCATGACTACCGGAAAGCAGTCCCAGGATAAGCTATCATGGACGGAGGAGAAAGTTGAAGCCTTCGAAAATTCAAAGAAAGCTTTACTCAACCATCGATCTATTATCATTCCTCGAGCCGACGATGAGCTTTGGCTTGTGACAGATGCATCCTCTCGACACTGTGGTCTTGCTGCAACTCTGTACGCCAAACGCGGAGATAAGCTACATTTAGCAGGATTTTTCAGCGCAAAACTCCGAAAACATCAGGTGACCTGGATACCGTGTGAGCTGGAAGCTTTAGCCATAGCTTCTGCGATCAAACATTGCGCTCCATACTAGTATATTATACAGTCAAGACACAAAACGCATGCATTAACTGACAATAAACCTTGCGTCCAAGCACATGTTAAGTTATGTAGAGGAGAGTTTTCTGCAAGCCCACGTGTATCTACATTTCTCTCATTAGCCAGCAGATATCACTTTTCTGTGCAACACCTGGCAGGTTCAGATAATATTCCGTCCGATTTTGCAAGTAGAAATGCAAAAGAGTGCCAAAACCAGAAGTGTCGAGTTTGCAGCTTCGTCTATGACCTACAAAACTGTGTAGTATCTAGTGTTTCTACCGACGATGTTCTTAGCGAGGCCAAACAACTTCCATTCACAAACCGAAAAGCATGGCTTCAAATTCAACAAGAATGCTACGATCTACGCCGAACTAAGGCCCACCTATCTCAAGGTACGCAGACCAAGTAGAAAAGACAGCGGAGTGTCTAACGTGAAACGTTATCTACGCGTAGAGGGTCTTACTACCGCAAAAGATGGTCTTCTAATAGTGCACCGCCAATCACCTTTGGAAATCGAACGAGAACTTATAGTAGTTCCCAGACAATTCTTACTGTTCTCCACATTCGTCTGGAGCACCCGTCTGGCTATCAACTAAAAAGCATAGTAAAATGCTACTTTTATGCTTTAAATTTAGACAAAGAAGCCGACGAGGTATCACGTTCATGCCATCAGTGTGCTTCCTTGAAAAAAATTCCACATCTACAACAGGAACAGTCTTCGGAAGCACCCCCACCTACAGTCGGAGCATCATTTGCAGCAGATGTTATGAAACGACACTCACAAAATATTCTGATTGTAAGAGAAACCGTCACTTCATTCACAACAGCGTGTTTTGTTAAGGACGAAACTAAGGATAGTTTACGAGAAGGCCTAATTCAACTATGTGCAGAAATGCGACCACTTGACGGTCCCTGTGCTGTCATTCGCACTGACCTGGCTCCTGGATTCAAGTCATTAGTGTCGGATGAGTCTCTGCGATTGTCTAGATTAGTCATAGAGATTGGACGTCCCAAAAATATCAATAAAAATCCAGTTGCAGAAAAGGCAGTTCAGGAGCTTCAAGATGAAATTCTACGTAAAGATCCATCACGTGATTCTATTTCTCAAACTACTCTCAGCCTATGCGTTGCTCAGCTCAATTCCAGAATGTGCCGAGGAGGTTTGTCTGCGAGGGAAATGCTTTCTCAGAGAGATCAATTCACCTGTCAACAAATCCCCACTTCAGACAGAAACTGATTATGGATCAAAATTCAGTAAGGGCGAAAAACCACGAAATTAGTATGCGGTCTAAAGCGCCTTCAAAACCAATAGCTAACAATAGCAATCTCAGTGTAGGAGATACCGTTTATTTACATCATGACAAGACAAAGATTTACGACAGAGATCGCTACATGGTGGTAAAAGTCGACGGTCAGTGGTGCAATATTCAAAAATTCATAGGAATTCAGTTACGAACTCTGTCCTATAGAGTTAAACAGTCGGACTGCTATAAGGTTCCCGAGTATAAGTGGAGTAAGGTCGATTTATGTAGTGACTACTCCGATGATTCAGAGTGTTCTTTGTCAGACTATGAAAATGTAGATACTGCCGACAACGACAAAGAATCTCACATCGACTTTGACTCTCTCCGTGAATTTCATCCACAAACGGTCGAAAACAACAAAAAAGAAGTTCAAACTTCGTCAGATCCATGTGACAAAGAATCTCACATTGACTTTGACTCTCTCCATGAATTTCCTTCACAAATGGACGAAAACAACAGGAAAGAAGAAGTTCAAACTTTGTCAGATCCATGTGAACAACCAACTGAAACTCTCAGACGTTCTACGAGGAAAAGACAAACTCCTAGATATCTTAAAGATTATGTTTTGGAATTGGAAGTGAGTTAATATCAAAGAAACTGACAATCAGTCGTCTAAAAAAAAATAAATAAACGGGGAGGAGACTTCGTTACCTTTGACATTGACACTGTGCCGTTGCACCTCTGTACATATTGCACTAATGTTTTTGTGTTGATTTTGCAGTTACACATTGTTTACTTCCTTAAAAAAGAAAAGAAGAAAAGAAAAAGAAAAGTGATCACGCCAGTATGCTGTAAAGTGTATACAATGTGAATGCAGCCGGATTGTGTATGACCTACTGGCACTGACACCTGGTGAGCGAGTTTTCTCATTTGCATATGAATAAAGGTCAAGTGCTGAGTAAGCACCTGAAGTTTGGGATTCGAACAAGCAAGAAGTTGTTCTCTCCTTCTTGTCATGGCGCAATACTTATGCAAGGCAGGTATGGATTAAAGAGGAGCTGGGATTCGATAAGACGTACGAAAGCGTAGAAGAAAAGATAACACGCAATCTAAATATGCATGTCCTACTTAGATTTCTGTCGAGGTAGCAAAATAGTGGCCAGGTGGTCGCATTACAGTTTTAAAACCCTTCCAGCAATGAGCAAGAGATCCGCGTGATACCATTAGTCATGGAGATGCACACCATTGAGAAATTACAGTCGGATCAAACTTTTGTCAGCTCCGACGATGATGCGCCTGTTGAATACCAACTGGAGGAAAAATTTGAAGACGGTCGCATGGGAAACTCGGAAGAAGTGTCCTTGCTCTATCCTCTAGACAAATGTCCCCCCGTGGCTGTTACCATCATTTTAGCTATTCAGGTAATGGAAAAAACAGTGGTTGTACCAGTCAGCAACAGAAATTGTTAAGTAGGACTAATATTTTAGTCAACAGACGTGCCAAATCAAAATGGACAAAAATATGTGACATGCAATAGTTTTGGTATTACGCGTAGTAGCTAATTCATTTTCAACGTATATTACTTGGAAAATAACCAATCACAAATCAAACTGTTCTTCGAGTTGTAAATGCCTGCTTATTACATTTGCGGCCTGACACGGTTGCCGTGAGCAAATAATCCTTATCTCTAGCTGGAAATTCAAATTGCTCAAACTTGTACTGTGACCTCTGGTGGATCGAACCAGTGAAAGTCCATCAAGTCACTTGCTATTAAGGCAAGAAAGGAACCTCCTTTTTACCTCGGTAATAACCGTGGTAATAATATTTCCAAATGTCAGCTAGGTATCTTTAAATATTTGAAAACAGTTTTGGGAAAATTTAAAAGTAAGCGGCATTATATAATAATCATTTTTTTAAATTGAACCACAATATTTTAATGTAAGTGTCTCCATAGATGGCAGGTCATGTGTTGAAATAGCTTGTTCAACAGATTCAAGGATGTCATGGACATTTCGACATATTTATTTATTATGTTTAAGGAGAACAAGCTCGACAATGCGTCAAGGCGGTTTGGTTGCACTTTTCTTAGTACATGAGCACTACATGTTGATTACCGTTAATCCGGTAAATCTGAATAAAAGACGCCAAAGAGAAGTGATCGACAAATGGGCATGTCGACAGTAAGATTTCAAATAAAAATTGAGCATATGACTGCAACTCATTCAGCTTTTGCTCTAAATGAGTTTTAAAAATTCTCAAAGCTTTAAAAGCTCGCGACCGCTACTAGTGGTACAAAGATTTGTTGTTCATCTTCCTGTTTTTAAGAGGTCTACCCGCTTGAAACTCGCTTGTAGTATACATTATTAGTTATAGCAGCGCTGAGAAGAAAGTTGTTTAACATAAGAACAATGTTCAGGCTTGGGTAAATTACGACCTTTCTTGACAAATTCTAGAGGAACTAGTGTACTTGTAGTCAAAACGAGTCAAAACGTCCATACTGGCGAAAAATCTGAGCTGTAAGTATTATTAAGGTCGGTAAATCTACCATTGTTGGAAATGCAGACGAAGCATGTGTAACTAGAAAAGCACTCCGAGAGCGCAGACCTCCGCCAAGGCAGCAAAGTCTCCACCCAATGCCGTTTCACCCCTAAATTTTCATTCTATAATGATTTAGTTTTTTTTTATTTTTGATTATTGATTGATTATTGATTCGGATCACCACCAAAAACTTATCATCTGTTCCTTGGCCCACTTCTGACAGTTCCTGAAAATTTCATCAAAATCGGCCCATAACTTAGTTTTTAATTATTGATTATTAATTGTTGATTGATTATAGATCCAAATTACCACCAAAAACTAATCACTTCTAAGTTAACCCATTTCTGACCTACCCTGAAAATTCCATCGAAATTCATCCATATTTTTTTTAGTTATGTTGATGACAGACAGACAAATAAACAAACAAACAGGGGTAAAAACATAACCTCCTTGGCGGAGGTAATTATGTACAGTACAAGTACCTGTACATGTGTATACTGGTACCTGAGTTGAATGGGGGTCGGGTGAATTATCAAATGTTTCGATAAACAGATGTTTTCTATGGCAGAAATTGATGCTAAACACAACTGACTACTACTTTTTTACAACAACTGACTTTGCGTGATTGCGACCGTTAACTGAGCTATATGAAGATGCTTTCTTAACTACTGTGTGCCACTTTGTTTAAGATCCTTATAAATCTCAAACAAAATTAGAAGTCATAAAAAAACGCAACTAAAGTCTGCGTGACTTAGCATAATAGGAAAGGGAGTACATGTAAACGGAACATCAAAATCTCGATTGGCCATGACATACTTTTTAACCGAAGAAAAGTTAGACTAAAGCGAAAAGATGGGCATAGATGCACTATTCACCACATACACTTTATCTGTATTGTAGGCCTTATTTCACTTGTATTTTAATGGACACATGAAGTTATAAACACCAGACAAAGAAATGAGACTCACTGTGACCTTCTGCAAGACACAAATAGTACTAGTACAAAAAAAAAAGCCCGAAGACTCAGTGCAGGTGTGTCCCGCAAATACAAGATGCACTGAAGCAACCCTTCTCAAGTAATACGTTACCGATCTTGACGTACAAGAAAAAACTTTTTAGGGACTGTCAATGATGGTTTTGGGATTTCTTTCCGTAACAACTTTCGCTATCTAATATTATAGAACCGTATCTTCCACCGAAATAAACGTGATGCTCAGGTGCTGTATATTCGCAGGATACACTCCTATCACTATGAAAACGGATTTCTATTGCTTTTTGGTAATAAGTGTTCTTCATTGCCAAATTATAGATTTTTTTCCTTATTTATTCATTGATTCATTAAAAACTACGCGTTTTTCCGATCAGATTTGAACTTGTACATATCACAGTGCCTTTGGACTATCCCGAATCATGATTTTTTTACCAGTTGTCATGCGACCAATGAAGTTTAAAGGCATTTCAGCATAAAATATATACGTGCAATAATACGATTATCGAACTTTTTTTTCATAAATAAAGACTAACCCTTACACTTTAGATACCAAAAATATTTATTCTTTACCACGGCATTGTGTAGACACCATCTAATTGTGAAATATTTTATGCTGTGCTTTTTTTTTTTTAGCAAGTGGTGATGTGCATCACGGGCACGATGTCGCTGCCGTTAATACTGAGCGGGCTGCTTTGTCAAGAGGACAACTACGAACTGCTTGCGGAGTTACAGAGCACCGCCATTTTTGTATCTGGCTTGGTGTCGGTGTTACAGTGTACCATAGGGATACGGTAAGGAGACAGCACCAGTAAAGTACCAGTATACCACAGGGATACGGTAAGGATACAGTACCAGTAAAGTACCAGTATACCACAGGGATACGGTAAGGATACAGTACCAGTAAAGTACCAGTATACCACATGGATAGGGTAAGGATACAGTACCAGTAAAGTACCAGTATACCACAGGAATACGGTAAGGATACAGCACCAATAAAGTACCATTATACAACAGGGATACGGTAAGGATACAGCACCAGTAAAGTACCAGTATACCACAGGGATAGGGTAAGGGTACCGCAGGGGTAGGGTAAGGGTACAGCGCACCATAGGGGTAAGGTAGGGTGCAGGGTACCATAGTGGTAGGGTAAAGGTACAGGTCATCATAGGGGTAAGATAAAGGTTAAGGTACCCTGGGTGTGTGGTAAGAGTGAGGGTATAGGGGTAAGGTGAGGAAACAGGGTTTCATAGGGGTCGGTTAAGGATACAGGAGACCATAGGAATAAGGTCAGAGTGAAGTGTACCACAGGGAGAAGGCCATAGGGTGCCGCCGAGGTGAGATTAGGCTACTGTGGTAGGGCCTACATGTACCATAAATGCAAGGTAAGGATAAAGTTAACATATTCAACAGAAGTGAATTGAGACTTTGGCAAATGCTTTTATCTTTATAAATGATATTAGCTGACTGCATTTGGATGTCATGTAAGCTAGCACTACTTTATATAGATCTCTAGAAAAAATATTACTTCAACAGATAATTACTTCAACAAAATATTACTTTAAAAAAATATTACTTCAACAGATACATAAAACGTATTGCCATGACTACAAACGTTCTTCTAAACAAAAACTCGTATAGTAAGCCCATTCATTTTAGACTTCCCATTATCCAAGGAGGAAGCCATTCCTTTGTGGCGCCGATGATCGCCATGTTGTCCCTGGAGAGGTTCAGGTGTCCGGAAACACCAGGTACAATTAGAGCACATTCAGAACGGCAGATTAACAGATCCGGGGATCAAATATGGCCGACCCACTGGAATGCTTGTTGCGTAGTCCCCGCAGGGAATATATTCAGTGTCTTATCGGGAATTAAGCGGCAAGCTTTTTAGTGGGTGGCCATATTTATCCGCGGATCTGTTAGTCCGCTGTTCTGAACGCGGTCTTAACCAAACGACCAGCACATGATCTGATGTAAACGAGTCAACGTACGTGATCGCACATAGATTAAAAGACACAGAAGGCGTTTTTTCTTACATGTATTATGGTTTCCGGTGGATACATACTGGGTCATCTTTCATTTTGCTCAGCGTTTGATTAAAAGGCTAAACGTCTATGTTCAATGAATAGAGTTTTATGAGAACCGTACTTAACTCTTCCATTTCTATCATTCAGAAGCAACCCTGATGGCCAACACAACGTTAGGAAATTTGTCGTCTGCTCGGGACGCCATGTCTGATGTGCAGTGGCAGGACCGTTTGAATGTCGTACAAGGAAGTCTCATGGTGGCGTCTATTGTACAGATATTCCTTGGGTGCACAGGTACTGCGCGATTATTATTATTATTATTAATAATATTATTATTATTTTTATTAATTTTTTCACTCGCTTTTCTCACACCAAAAAAGGCATAATGTTATAGCACTGTCACACTAAATAGCTTATACTTTTATATATAGCATCAACGTGTGAGAAAAATTGCTCACTCTCAGGCAAATGTTGGAGTGCGTTTGCATCCCCACTGCAGAAGGAGATAAAATTTGAGAGTGTAAAAAATACAGCGTATGGGTTATATGTTACCCATACGCAAGGGATACGCTAGGCTAACGGCGGATACGCCAGAGTGACGTTAAAAACACCTAACAGTACGCTTCTCATGCATGCGATGGTGGGTATAGCCAGCATTTGCGTAGCGTAGATACAGTTCAATAAAAAACTGGGCTTCTAGTGATTCTAATTCATTTGTCTGTGAATTAGGCGCCATTGGTTTTCTACTGCAATACATTGGACCCCTCACAATCGCTCCTACCATCACTATGATTGGACTGTCTCTCTTCTCCGTGGTGTATAAATATTCTCAGGCACACTGGGGAATGTGGGCACTGTAGGTACACCGATTTTGTTTATTTTTATTTTTTAATTTGAGTTAGTCTTATATTGACTAATTTATTGACATTACCCTACTTCTCAAGAAGGCAAGGAAATATACTGCATACTTTCATAAACAGTCGAGTAGGCCTAATATTAGTAGAACAGGTATTCACTTTTTGGCGTATTTCCGCTTGTGGTGAAATGTTGGAAACAACAGCAATTTCTGAAAATTGATATTTCTTCAAAATTTTTTATTTGAGCTATTTTTTTTATTTTAGCTCTTGTGCCATTGTATTCATCAGTGGAGTATATTTGAGGAAGATACAAGTACCATTTGTGTGGTGGTCTCGTAAGGAAAAATGCCACAAAGTGTCCTGTTATTTATTCGTGTTACTACCGGTAAGCGCAAAACGATTGTTTTAAACAAAAACGCTGCTTATATGGACAAAAAATCTCAGCAAAAAGTTCATTTAAGAACCATTAATTTGTTTTTATATTACACATATAATTTCCATATCACAGAAGATAACTTGTGCACAAAACTTAAATGAACGAAATATCGAATTTGTTTTCTGTTGCAAATTGAAGCCTATTCAATCTGGACCATGATCAAGTCATGGAAATGAATACGTTGTATTGTTTTACCCACATATAAATGTTTTATCTGTACATTGCTATTTTTTTTATTGTCAAGGTCGATTTTATGTTCACTTAGGTTGTATTCAGTATCGTCATCACGTGGCTAGCGTGCTGGATTCTCACGGCCACCGGCTCTCTGCCAGATGACCCGAAGGCCGTACAGTACAAAGCGCGCACTGACGCAGGATTGGTAGGGATTCGGAACGCTAAGTGGTTCTTCTTTCCATATCCAGGTAACATATTCAGTCCCTACAGACGCTAATGTTTTGGTTCCAAGGTCACGCATTGCAATAACGTGTGAGATGTATTTTAATGTGTTCATACATGTAGGCCTATATCTTATTTCACTGAAGCCAAAATTGAAAACGAATATGTTTATGGACGAGCGCTGACACACACACACAAACACAAACACACACACACAAACACACACAACAAAATGAAATGATTAAATGTGGAAAATTTTAGGGACTCTTCCATATTTCAGGACAGTATGGTACACCAGTCATAAACGCTGGCGGCGTGTTTGGTATGATAGCAGGGACATTGGCATCTGTCGTGGAGTCGGTAGGAGATTACTACGCCGCGGCCAAGCTATGTCAGGTGCCAGCACCCCCAGCACACGCCGTGAACCGAGGCATGTTGGTGGAGGGGCTGGGAAGCGTCCTCTCCGGCTCCCTGGGGATGGGGCACGGCACAACATCGTATAGCAATAACGTCGGTGTGATAGGAATTACCAAGGTGCGGTTTTAGTTTCTTTTTAAATATGGGAACAAATTTAAGTCCCTAAGTGATACCAACTTGTGATACCAGCCTGTTGTCTTGTTACCCGTAAAGACTTTACAAGTACGTGTAAAAAGAAATGTGCATGCCGATAAATCCTTGTACATAATGTGCCAATAGGCCTACTAGCAGCACAGATAGATACATGTACCGGAGTATATAAGGGAACCGGTAAATCGTGAACCATAACATCCATGTGCCGTGAAATTCAAAATAAAAACGGATAAAACTACGCCCCAATAGACCCAACATCTATATGAAGGCACGTGTATTTGCATAGGCACATAAAGTATTGGGACCAGTAGGCCTATCTATCGAGACGTACCGTATCGGACCGTGCATCTATCGGGACGTAAATTTCTCTATGGAGCTGACCCCATTTGAAACACGTGCCATATAAGATCCATTCCATTTAAGTGCTGTAACTTGTGCGTGAAGTATTAACTTGTATTACACTTACATTAGTCTTTGAAACCATTTTTCCAGGTCGCCAGCCGACGAGTGTACCAAGTGGCTGGGATCATGATGGTGTGTATGGGCGTTATAGGCAAGGTGGGGGCCGCTTTGGCCGCTATACCCTTACCAATCCAGGGCGGTGTTTTAACCATTGGACTTTCCTTTGTGGTGTCCGTGGGGATCTCCAACGTTACGTATATTGATATAAGATCGGCCAGAAATATGTCCATTTTGGGCTTTTCTTTGATGTGTGGGTTCGTCGTGCCAGAATGGGCAAAGCAGAACACCGATGCTATAAAAACAGGTGATAACCGATTTTTAATCAGCCACGATATAGTATTTCTACTGTATTTGTATATTTACCGAATATTTTTTTCTTTTTATGCATGCATAATTTTTCATTGAGATGGAGGTGCCTTTTTGATCAGCATCATTCTTTGCCTGCTGATTCCTTATAAAGACCGATTTCCTTATATCTTATTTTTCATATATTTACGTATACAGTGCTTACTCAATTACCACAGTCAGGTCAGTTCTTGTACCACAGTTGATTTATATGATATGCTTCATAACAACCTAGATCATTAACTATGCCGTTATTTTTAGGGGTGGACGGACTGGATGCTGTTATCACAGTGTTTTTAACAACGCCGATGTTTCTCAGCGGTGCGCTGGGGTTCTTCCTAGACAACACTATTCCAGGTATTACGTTGAAAAACATCGTTTTATTACCCTTAAAAAAAAAAAAAAAAAAAAAAAAAAACGGAGAAGTTTGCACTTACAGAAGCTCTAAAGTTAAGTAAGTCCGCACCCGTAGCGCAAGTTTGTTCTTACACATGTAGCTGTTTTTTATTTCGTCTTTTTGCTTTAAAGAAAAATCGTGGACGTTTCTATTGACAAACGAGTTATTTTCTTCAATACAAACATTTTGTCCACACAAACAGATCAGATGTGCTAATGAACTTTGAATATTAGTGGTGTCTGATAATAACATTCGAGTGTTAATAAATGCAATCTTTAAAAGATGTATTAAAACATTTCATATTGCAGGCACAAAAGCCGAGAGGGGCATAGGAAAATGGCACGAAGAGGTCTTTGCGAATGCACAAAATCCCGAAGGTTATGACGATCCGAAAACCAAAGAATATGAAGTTTACAGCATTCCATATATAACTCCGTACTTGGAAAAAATACCGTGTTGCTCAAACATCCCCTTCATGCCAAGTTTCGACTCGGAAAGGATAAAATGTAGAAATAAATGCAAGTGTAGGCGCTCTAAGATGGTCGTATGATAGAAAAAAAAACCCTGTGCTATTACACGTACACGTCTCATAATCAGTCCATGGGGTTGGTTGCATGTGATCGCTTTTACATAAAAAGAAAACAAATCGAAATTGAAAGGTGATTGTAACTTGCAGTTCTAATTTGGTGAAACTTTATGGGCTTAAAAACCAGTCACAAAAGTGACATATTTTAACACGTGAAAATTAATATTATATTTTGGAGGGTAGCAAATGTACAAACAAACAAATAAACAGTGAATGAATGAAAAAATGACAAATAAAAAGATCAGTGAAATAAACTTTTACCCTCGCCTCGTTCGAAAAAAAATCAAGTAAGGTAGCCATTGGAATTTTATAAATTTTCATGATCCAAACTTGCAAATACACTGCACATTGCCTTGCAGATTCCATATCATGCGGTAATCTCTTTTTAGAAAAAAAAAAAAAATGGGTAAGTTTGACCGTCTTTCAAAAGACAGAAAAGCCGGTTAGCATTCGTATTTGGCTCCATAACTTCTACCTGTAGTATTTAATACAAATAGCAAAGTTCCCACCTTCAGTTTTTAGTAAAAAATTAAGGGCACACAACTTTAAAGTGAGGATTTACACACGTATCTCTCGTGCTTATAGTCGTGATACAGAATTATGATCATTTCAGGAGTGAATCTTCAAGCTGCGCTTTATACGTGGCATTGCTACAAGGACAATCCGACGACCAACTTAATCGTCACCGACGGTTATTTGTCAACTTGATCTTGGCAGTGTGGCGGGGATTCCCCACACCACTGAAGTATGTAAACCTTACGCATTAGTTATTTTAGAAATGTATAAAATATTGCATTACTCCCAGATTTGACGTTGTCAAATTATTTTTATTATTTTGCAAAAAAAAAAAAAAAAAAAAAGAAACAATTTTTTTTAGTAAAACGTTTATTGCATTTGGTGCGCTGGTAGGATATATACGGTGGGAAATCTTTTTGTTTAGATTTCTAAAAACCAACTATTCTTTAAAATGACTCAAAAGTTACAGTTACCACTTTGCGAAACCTATCCATAGAATTATGTCAATGAAACAGTTTCCTAAGTATAAATGGAGATTTGGAAGGTTAAGTTGATGTGGTAAAACATTATTTATTCATTAAGTCAAAATTGTTGTCAGTAACAGTTCTTTGTGTCTTACATCGCATTAATGGCAATAAACTAGATGACAGAGTTCCATTCACAAATGTACCAATCAGATCAATATTTTATATTATCAACGACCAAAGAGAAAAGGTCGGGAGTTTCTTTCAGCATTTCTACATGTGCATACAGGCTCCTTTGGAAGAACTGGAAAAGGAAAAAAAAAAGAAAAGAAAAGAGTTTTAAATTGTACATGTTATTTCTGTTTATCAGCACCCTTATTTAAAAGCTGTCATGGTGCATATCCGTTACATTGGGTGTGCTTTCTGTCACGAATGCAGCGTAGCGCCAAAGGGCTCTGAAACTTGAAGTATAAACCTACTTCATCCCGCTTCAATAGCAAATACAGAAGACACAGCCGGGACGCCTACTTCCAATTTGGAGTTATCCTTTCTATCCCTACTCCCCCAAGGATAACAGGTCAAACAAGCAATGTTTTTATCCCCTGCCTTACATATTATAGTAATATTACCCTTCATTACTGTTTTGTTATTAAAGTTTTTAACCTTGTTTGCTTGTAGCTTTCATAATAACGTATACAGTTTACCATGACTTTGACAGCATCAAATCTGATCACTGTACAGGGTTTTTATGTTTGCATATTTTAGGTAACAATAATAATCACAAAAGTACCTCCAATAAGCGCTCCACTTCGCCCTGGTGCAGGGGGAGGGGAGGTGGGAGGTAGAATAGCCGTTAGGGGTCATCAGGTACGCGCTCCTGTCACACGGCATGCCGCTGTCTCCGTCGTGAGGGGAGCCCAGACTGTGGAGGGAAATTAAATATTATTTTTATAATGTATTTGAAATGTGATGAATGTGAAACGGACTGCTGTCAGTGTGACATGCATGGTATACTGTTAGGAACCGTGGTCCTTTCCCCATTACTTGGTACAGGTGACATTTGCCCCATATACTAACGCCAATACTCGGACCTGTACTAATTATATGGGACACCCGGACTTCCATTCCTAGGACTACCATTCCTGTCACACCGTCAACATTTTTTGTACAAAATAATGCACTGTTCTTATTATCTCAACGAGCATGTTAACATGACGTTCACTCCTACATGATCTTATTTAAATTCATACGCATATACCGTTCATATGAGCACGTGTACTGACACTTGCTTGTATATGGAGGAAGAACCAGTTACCTGATACCCCTTAGAATGTTGTATTCTTTAACATCTTGTTTACAAACCGAATTTTTTAAATTATTTGTTTGATAACCTTTATCGAACCTTCCAAATTCACATTTTTTAAAATGTGCAAGCTAATTACACACCAATAATTTAGCAAAATTTAAAGTAAAATAGATCCTACAATATATATATATAAATACAAATATATTCACACATGGACAGATACACGGTGTTTGGGTCACTTACATGTGGCCAGTCTCGTGGAGGTGAAGTTTCGTGAAGCGCTGGCTGCAGTCATCACTGACCACTCCTACTGCCCAAGGGTCACAGGCTTTGGCCACTGCACCCATACCTGCAATGATAAAGGATACAAAATTGCTGTTGGGTGTTGTTTTGTGTTATGAAAATATTGAATGTAGTTAAAAAAAGCAATTACAGAATTTTCCCCAATTTCGTAATTTTATGCTTAAGGGGGCTAGTCATACATTATATTGAGCTGGTTAAACACAATGGAAATTATTTCAATTAGATATACTTAGAACTCGTGCAAATAAGAAAGTTATCTAGTCTTACGGTAATTTAGCATTTTAAAGTATATAAATACCTACCATCCCCCCTGTTCCATCCATTCGCGCTGAAACAGATATGGTGTTATATATATATATATATATATGTCACAGATGACAAAGTATTCGTAAAAATGTCCATTTAGACTTTTTTCCGATTGAAATGACCATTGGCAGAACCATACGTTTGCAAGCAATGTGTTCCTTTGCAAGAATATACAAATTAATTCTGTGAGTGTTTCGCGCCTCGCTTGGGTTTGTTTTCTAGAAGTCTTCTATCAGTGAGCGCGGTCTTAAGCCCTGAACGTTGTAAAACAAAAATAACAACAATGATGATTATAATGATTAACAAATAGACAAATAAAAAAGTAAAATAAAACAAACTGAAATAAAATAAATATAGAAAGTAGAATGAAGAAAATAATTATCCCGCACGCATTGCATCCACTTACCAATTATGAGCCACAGCAATATCGTATTTCTTCCTCGGCTTTAAGTAGTCCACCATTCGCTGCAAGACGTCCCCAAGACTGCCAGACTGGTCTATGCCATTGCACATTGCTGCAGTAGGACTCTGGAGTTTACACAGTGAATGATTATTGCATGTGATGATAGGCATAGAATCTTAAAGTGTGTGTGTGTGTGTTTGTGTGTGTGTATGTGTGTGTATATGTGTGTGTGTATATGTGTGTGCGTGCATGTGTGTTTGTTTCAGCCAGAACGCCAAACGCAAAAGCATTTCAGGAAAGGATACTCACCGAACACATTATAAACTCTTTGATTTTGAAACGGATATCTGGTGACATTTTGTAACTTTTATAATTGCTGGAAACCTGAAAATGCGAAGCATATTTTAAAACTATTTGTATATCCAAGCCCTTCATGTAAACCATTCAATTTACCATTTATACTTAATTTGGTGCCCCATATTAAGCTATTTTTAACAATTACTTATTACTTTCAAGATGAAATTTACCTCCAAACACCCCGTGAACATAAATAAATTATTTCCAACATACGCTGTTCCAATAATTAAGAACATATTTCTTGGCGTTGGCCTCCGAACCCTTGTTCCTTATAACAGAATGAGCGACAATGAGAGTGACTTCTGCGTACACTATCGCCGGGACTTTGACTTGTCTTTTATGTAATCCTCTTGGTTGTGTGATGTTTGCACTGGTATTTTCATCGGGAGGGTCTGAAGTGAAAGCATCCAAGAGACGGGAACTTCAAATTCACACACACGCACACACACACAAACACAGAGAGAAGGGAAAGAGAGAAGAGAGAGAGGCACGTGTACGCACGGATAAACGCATGAACACGAAAATAATGAGTGAATTGCAATGAAATCACAATTGTCGATTAAAATTAAGATTAGAAATAATAATAATTCGTGTTAGTGTTTGGTAGTTACAGTATTCATCCGAGACAAATCGAACGTCTGGCTGTCTGTAGACCACGTGACGCAGCGAGGAGTTTGAGGTCACGTGATCCGGAAGGGTTCGAACTACGTAGTCCCCGACAGATCCATCCTATATAAATTAAAAACCCATTTTGAACAAATATTGATGACGGACAATCCTATATTGTTAAGGAGGTTTAACAAAATTTGGGAAAAAAATCTATGACATATCGAGCAAATTGACCAACTAATCCGAATGATGCATGTTTAACATCTTCATTTTTAAATTCTAAAATGAAACGGAAATAATGGATTCCTTTATGATTACATACCAACAGAAGACCAGATGCATCTCTCTGTATTGTGAAAGCAGCAGAGTGTACAGGGTCCTCGTAAAGCTGACTCAATTCACCGTCAACATCGTCCTGTAGAAAACACGTTATATTAAACCGGTATACATGTAGTATGATAAATTGACGGAGACCGACCGCATTTTTTCATTTGGTTCCATTTTGTAGGTAAATTACTGCCACTTGATTCAAATGTTTCAAGTCCTATAAAGTGAAAAAGAAACGGTTCTTATGTTATATATCGTAATATAATCATAGACTTATTTACGTATTCAAATGTAAGACAACATTCATAGGATCATTTGAAAAGATAAGCATATAGAACCTGGAATAACTGACTTTTCCTGTCACGTTCTCCTCTATCGTCTGCCCGTCATCGTTTACACTGAGTTTGGTCACGAGCGTGTTTTGCACGAGGTCGTCATTACGTGATAGATGCAGACGAAGCAAACGGCCGCCCACTTTCATAGACATCCGCAGACGACCATCATGGTTTGAGGCCCCCCTAGTTTGGTATTCGTGGATTTCTGTCAAACTATAATCTGGCACTGAAAACAAAACCGTTCTTTACGACCATGGGATTATTAGAAATGGAAACTGAAATTTGTTAGTGTTGTATGCGTGCCATGAAAAAAAAAATACTTTTATGACTTTTGTCAACTGTGCTACTTGCTCTCTCACGTGCAGAGGTAAATATTAATAATCATACCACGATTTAATTCAATTGGTTCACTTTCACAATTTTCAATGTAATTGAAGTTAAATGTCCTGGCGTGTTTGATCTCATTTTGCAGCTGATTTCGACACCAAACATCAAACTTTATTCAAATAAGGGAAGATAAGCTAACTTTTTTACCTTTACTGTGATCCTGAACCCCAAATATCTCTTGCAATTCTGTTCTGGTTAGCTGTTGAATGGCGACCTATAGACAATTAATAACGTCAGTAATACATACATGTATAATAGTATCGGTACAAAGCTGATACATGGTTTGAAAAATAAAGACCACTTAATTAGCAAAAGATTCATACATTTTGTTGTTTCATCATCAGTTTTTCGTAACTCTCAGAGACTGCATGTAAATATAGGGATTTTGTTGAAAAGTAATAGAAATTTAATGCATTAAATTTAATTACATGAATGGGTGACATGCAAGCACCACTGGTACCATCTAAAAATAGCAACGCCGCCGCTGCTATATTTATCAAATTGATATACGAGTCGTTATCATTTTTCAGTATATTTAAGGTTCGTTAGCAACACCACCGATTCCTATTGTTATAATGACCTTACCTGGGCTGCAACTACAACAGATGATAAAATACAGGCGGTGAAACACAGGGTCAGTGTTTTTGGTGGGGACGCCATGTTGTAGCCACCCGCATCCCGATTAAGAAAGAGGTTTACATGTATATATATAGAGAAATGCATACGTTGAGCATTAACCCAAGGCACGTTTACACAAGACAATTAAAAGAAATAACCTCGATCCTAGATTGAACCGGTATCCAATCGCTCTATTTGTGATTAAACTAAATATACTTTTTCTAAATACGTATTTTCCGTTTGAAGCAATGCATTGAACTACATGTAATCAAGTAGTTATAACTCCTTGATGTAATCACCCACTAGTTTTAAAGCGAACATGTGCCAGTAAACTACGTGTAAACATGCTCTAAGATATATGAATCTACTGATAAGTCTTGAAATATACCACTAACACCAATAGATAGTATGCCAGCATGCCCCCACGTGCTTATACCGGGTGTCTCCGTGGGCAGGGTAAAGAGGATTATACGGCTAATCATATTGCTTACTTTTGTGTTCACATATGCCGACCTTTAAGCAATTCTGCGCTGGATGTAGTGATCTCGCTAAAATAATAATACATAAAAATAAAATCATAAATAATATCTCTCTGCAAAGGTGAAGATAAGACATTAGGGCGTGCACAAATCTGATACGTGCACAATATAACACCGTTCATAAGTTATACATACACCGTGCGTCGGTCTTGCATGGGTCATACGCGGTGCGAGTACGCTGTGCTCGTGAGTGATTAGCAATTCATACGAGGCCATACGCTGATCTCCCAGTATATTGCACGTACACACACACACACACACACACACACACACACACACACAGACATGTCGTACTTGCAGCACACGTACAGAAACAGTAGCAACACAGGCTGTGACAAATACGCTGAGAATGTGCTTGGTATTCCTCGAAAATGTGTTTTCGCATAAATTGTACGGGTGCATATCGTAACATTTAATAAGGCATTCAGAGGACTTGAACGCCTTTGGGTGAACTAGTTCTGCGGCAAAACCACTCTAAGTAAAACCTTGTGAACGGCATTCAAGGTCCACATCTATCGGCTATTATCTGAACTGTCATATATAGTCTGTTGACAGATAGCATTACCTTTTGCTAATGCACAGACAATGTCTTCAATTGCAACGTAGACAGTCGATGAAAAAACAAACCGCGCTTCTTTTGTATGATATATCTAAAGGCTTAATTATAGTTCATATGTGTAAAATAGCCACTATTGAATCCTCGTTCTTTGCTTATTTTCAACTAAGAAGTAGGCTACTACACCTAGGCCTACTAGGTAGATATTTTTAAAATCTCTCTTTTCTCTTCATTACCCCACAAAACAGCAATAAAGGCCGAGCCAAACAAAAATAGATGAATATCAAAGACCAAATCTTTTAAAACCAGTTATGCAATGCATGCAATTGTTTGATTTCTAACCAATGATGGTGTATAAGCCTCTAATAAGGGTTTGATACATATAAGCCTAGATTATGGCAGATGAGAGGTTGGTTTCGCGTAAAAATAACGCCGTCGCGTAGGCCTACGCTTCAGACAGTTTTGATGACGTAACTCCCACTGTGACGTAACATACGTTGCATCCTAGCAGCAAAACATTGCAGACAGCGAACGATTGATAAAAATAATGTTTATAGCTAAGATTATTTGATAAATTATACACAATATATATATATATACAGTTCACATAGATTCTACACAACAGAATGCCGAGAATCTTGGAGGAGGTGAGTAATATTCACTATATTTACAGTAGATATTTATTGAATTAGGGGCTACATCACCCGATAAGCCTAGTTCATTAATTTTTTTATTTACGGTCACATCCAAAACTTATATTTCTTCTCGTTATATTTCTTGGATGTTAGGAGATGTTTGCAAACGTTTTATATATTTACCCAATCAAATATTCTATAATTTTGACAGTGGTATAATAATAAGAGTGGACATACCAGTACTTCACTCCTATATTCTGGACATATTTTCAAGATAATAATATGTTCAAAATATTCTGCTATAATTTGAGTGTTAATGACATTTATCGAAAATCTAACTGAAGAAAAATTCTACATATATTATACCTATGTTTGTTAACGCTTGACGTCTAACGTTTCAAGACGAGTTGGCGTATTTACCGTTATTTCGAACTTGAGTTGAATAACATCAAATGTCAATGGTTTATCGGAATGGAAAGACCGGCTATCAGGGTATCTATGTTATGCTTGTTATAGAGAGGTAAAAAAGAATGTCGGCATATTAGTATATATTAAGGAGCGTTTAGTAAATGATCTAAAAGAAATCAAAAACCCTAAATTAGACACTGTCTCCCTACTATTAGCCAAGCAGGTTACAGGGCTTGACAAAAATATTGTATTTAGTGCTGTGTATGTTTCACCTCAAGGGGCTAGTATTTATGGGGAAAATCATGGAAATGGAATGGAGATATTGGGTGAATGGTTGCTCAAAATGAAATCAGCATACGAGGACGCATATTTTATGTCAGTGGGGGATAGAATGAAAGGACTGGAACGTTATATGACTTAATCGAAATCGATGGAGCGGAATATGTAGCCGATTGGTATGAAATAGACAAATTTTCCATTTTCCGAAAAAATAAAGATCTAGAGTACAACAGATATGGTCAGGACTTGGTTGAACTGTGCTGTAGCGTGGGCCCTGATTTGTTAAATGGAAGAAAACATGGAAATGTGGATGGCGAATATACTTGCGAAGCCAACAATGTTCATAGTACAGAAGACTACGCGCTATGTGTCATAATCACACGTGCCTCGAGGTTATGGACATAGATCTGTTGGATCATTTTCCCCTAGAATGTGTGTTGAACTGTAAAAATGAGAATGTAAACACATATGTAAGTACCACAGTAAACCTGACACCTTACTTCAAGTTTGCCTGGAGTGAGGAATGGAAAAGATAGGTTCATTGGAAAACTTTAGCCATAATGTACCAAAGACCATACAGTGGATATAATGGAGCGGCGGGTGATATGAAAAAGACCCACAAGGTGCACAGACCATTACATGAAGGTTGGTTTGACAATGCATGCAGGTCCGCAAAGCGTTATAAAATTCGTTGTTGTGAAAATTCATACGTACTAATGACGACATAGATCTAGAAAGCTACAAAAAAAAAAAAAAAATAATAAAAAAAAAAATAATAATAATAAATAAAAAAATAAATCATGTAGAGAAATTTGTCGTATTTGCAATAAATGGAAAATAAACCAGCAGCAAAACAATGAGAAGACAAAACATGATCCATTTGTATGTTGGAAATTAATCACAGGGAAAAAGTGCTCGTCGTCTAGTGTCATAACTAGTGACCGGTGGTTTGAATATTTTATGCAACTAAATAACCCGCAGGAAACAGAAAGCTCAATATCAAAAGAGGTGCGTCAAGACCTGGAAGAGAATGACTATTATTGTGAGCACTGTGTCAATGATGACCCTCGAGAACTTAATAACTCCACTGACATTGAAGAAGTCACGAAGGCAAATGAAAAACAAAAAGGCGCCTGGGGCTAATGGTATTAGTGTAGAATTCTATAATAACTCGCTGCATATAATCATACCATATCTGATTATACTATTCAACAGCATTTTGGACCTTGGTGTATACCCAAAGAGATGGGCGGAGGCATTGCTTTGTGCAAGCTGTTTATGAGTAGGGGGCGCACAATAGCGTGAACAACTACAGAGGAATATCCTTATTGATTGTATGTAGCAAAATGTTCACAAAAATTATGAACAATAGGAAAGGACGGGTAAATTACACGAAAGCCAGGTCGGTCAACTATTGATCAAATGTTTACATTGGAGAACGTTTGTTGTTAGGAAATCGACGTCACAATGGCACGTCACACGCGCTGACGTCATACGCAGTGACGTGTCCCATTGTTGTCATGGACATATGCGTCCTAGCAACCGAAATCGCCAAAAATTGCGGACAACGACCGAAGCTATTCATTTATCTGACAAACTTTTCTATGTAAATCTAAGTAGACAAATGATCATACCTTATATCTAACATACCTATAGTTACACTACAGAATGCCGAGTAATGGGGATAACGTAAGTTGACAAACCAAATGGTTCAATAATGATTTCTAACAATGTTTATAATTTCACCGTTATGAATTCAAAAGATGTCGGTTTGCTTAAAGCAGAGAACACATTTAGATTTTATATTGACTTAATTTCAGGACCAAGTCCCTCCTTGGCGGAATCCAAATCTAAGCTTTTTTGCTTGGCTGAGAGTACTGTTCTCTTCTATACACATTACATGTCTTATTTGTGGGGGTAGTGGAGAGGAAGAGGACAAGGATAAGAGATATAAGAAAGGTGAGAGTTAAACTATATAAATTTTAGGATAAATATTTATCATAATATTTAATACAGGTATTATTTTTATTGAGATAAATAGGGTTTTTGTTTTTATTCAAGGACTTTGTCACAAAAACTCCATTTTTGATCTGAGTTCTAGCGTTGTGACAACATAGAATCATAGAAAAGTACGGCTGATTTGAGAAGCGATGAGTATATTTTACATTATTTTGTATTTTTTCGAACATTACGCTTTTTAAAGTAATTAGAGAGTTAAACAACTATATAATGTAATATGTATATGAAATATGTAATATGAACTTCAAGGTAAAGCAAAGAAAGAGAAGAAGACGAAAGAAAAAGCAGAAGCGTCGCACGCTGAAAGTGACAAACCGGTAAGTACATGTATATAATTAATTTTCCATTGCCGTGTCTATGCAATATATATAGATCTAGTGTTTATTCATGTATATAATCATTTACTCATCTTTTTGCTTAAGCATCCATTTATTTAACTTTTCTTTCACTTATTAATTTTTTGTTGCTGTCCTATTTTTACAATACTGACATTTCATTTTTATTTTTATTTATCATTTTAATTCATTCTCTTTTTTCATATCTTTTCTTCCATTAATTTCGTTCTATTCTGCTTTATTTTTCTTTTTTGTTATCTGTCTTCATTTGATTAGTCTGGTGATAAACACGTTAAGGCAAGGAGTCGAGCACTTGGGCGGTTAAAGCTGAGAAAAGGGAAAGCTAATGGTATGACTTTTAATAAATGGTCTCTTTGTTTCTAAATGACGATTGAGTACTTTAAACTTGATATTTTGACACTACTTTCTCTTAATCATAACCTAAGTTTTGTCATAATGCTTATAATTTAAACTCCTTTGCTTCAGCCGGAGCTAGCGAAAATGAAGACAAGATTTCCACATCTTCAAAGAAGAACGAGAAGAAATCGAAGCAGACTAAGAGCGAAGAATCGTCAAAGATCGATGAGGATGCCCCTGGTAAGCCTTCAAGATTATTTAATGTGGTCGAAGCGATTGACACTATAGACACACGTAAACATTTATTGTCTTTGTAGCTTTCTATTTCTTACGTGTTCATGTGTTCTCCTGTCTGCACTACCTCCCTCCAAGCCAACTTTGGTCTACCTGGGGCATTCCTCTCCACCTCAAACTCTGTTACTCTTTTTACCCAGTTGACGTCACTCATTCTTTGTACATGCCCAAGATGTACCAGGCTGGAACGGGGTAGAACATCCCTGATATTTTCTATTCCTATTTGTATTCCTATTTGTTGTTACAGTACTTGTTTTCATATATTTTTTAATTGGTATTTGTGACTTCGAAAAAGGTTATTTACACGAATGCATGAATTAATTCCAGCTCCAAGTGACGACACTACTTCCTTAGTGACCAAGAAAACAAAGAAATCTAAGCGCCGATTGAAAATCAAGTTGCAATCACCCTTGAAAAAGTCAACGGCCAAAAATGATAAAGCAGCTGTTGAAGATGAACAAAGCATTGAGCTTGGTAAGAGCTGATGTTTTTCATGCTTTTCACGAAATAGCGGTTATATCAGCTACTTCAGTGAAATTATTCTGTTGAATAGATTCGATGGCTTATGTATCGGTTACATTAATGAAGTCTTGATAATGTGTTTGGTACATATCCCTGGGGGTGAATTTGGATTTTGTGTTTTTTTGAATTACACTTTCTTCAGACAATCATTATTTACATGTATGTATGTGTTCATTCATTCATTCATCGAGCGTGTGATGTATTTTATATTTATTCTATTCCACATACAGATAAAAGAAATGATGACGTGGCTCCCAAGAAAACAAAGAAGTTCAAGAAGTGGAAAACTACTTCTAAGAAAGCAAAAGCACCAAAGACCGATGTCTCAGCTGAGGCGGCCGACCAGGAAAATGAGCAGAACCTTGAAGGTAGGAATTTCTCACTAGTGGTCGTGTTTTTCATCAGTGGTTGGATTAAAACGATAAAAAAGCACATGTTGTAAGAGAAAGATCCTAACAATGTTTGAAATGATTTCATTTCTTCCTTCTTTCAGTTAAAGCAGGTGATGATTCGGCCCACCTCCCAAAGAAAGCAAAGAAGCTCAAACAGTTGAAAACTGCTGCAAAGAAAACAGAAGCTTCAAAGACTGGAAGACCGCTGGAAGATCACGTGGATGAGCAGGAGGGGGATGGTTGGTACCTTTCAATGACCCTAAATTTATAAAATGGCTTTTTAGTAATCTTCTGACTGGTTAGATAATTGATAATATAAATAAATAGATATATATGATAAAAGCAATGTCGAAACAACGGTTACGTGCAGTGAACTGCATGCAGCATGAATGTGAGGACTTAAATGTGCATTCCTTTCAATCCCAAAGAAATAATTCTGTGGCATAAGGTAGATGATATACGATTCTATCATATATTAGTTGCAGATGCAAAACCGAAGAAAAGGAAAAAGAAAGCCAAGACATGGAGAAAAATGTTCAAAAGAACTAAAGAGACCAATCGCAACAAGACTAAGAAAGCCAAGAAGGAGAAGAAAGAACAGGAAGGCGAGGGTAATTTGCTCTTTGTAAATTGGTACAATTAAGTGTAAGAATGGTTATCAAAAGTATTTGCACACCGGAATAACAACCTATTTCTCTTGTGTAGACCTGTTTGCAGATTTAATTGTATTGGGGGAACCTGTCTTCACATATCTTGGTGCTATGTGACAGTATTCAATTATAATCGTTATTTTCTCTCATGAAGGTGCATCAGATAATGGCTCAGAAACCTCACCGGATACGAAGCAAAAAATGACCAAAATGTCTAAGAAAATGAAGAAGGCATCGAAAAGGGCATCCAGAAAGGCAGCTAAGAAAGATTCTAAGAAAACAAAGAAGTCGCAAGATAAGAAGAGGAAGATTGCTTCAGAACTGGACAATGGAGGTAATGCATAGTTTTACCCGGAGCTTCTGGGTTTCGAAAAGAGCATCTAAGGTATTCAGTTAAGCATAAAGGTGTTCAGCTTTCAGTTTTTGTTTTGCGTTACAAGTGGTAACTCGGAGTCAGGTACCATTCGGAATTGCACTTTTCCACGAATTTAGCACCCTACACTTGGATTGAAATATCATTTCATTCCCTTTAGTTGACGACGATGCAGGTGATGTCACGAACACTCCTACAGTTAGCAAAAAGAAATCAAAGCCGTGGAAGAAATTATTTAAACGCACCCAAAAGATAAAGAAAGTGACCCCGAAAGATGGCCAAACGGAATGGGAAGGTATGTTCTGTGGTGACTTGCTGGTATATAATAATTTGTTGTACTCGTGTTACCAGATCGGCATATTGTTTTATCATTTATGTCGCTCTCAAATTCCATTCTTTTAAAAACAGATTTTTATTTCTGCAGATGCTACAATAGTTGAAATTTTCGAGGAAGAAGAAGACAAAAGCAATGTTTTACAGGAAGATTTCCTCGTTGTGGACATAGAGGAAAGCGAAAGCGACGATGATCAAGATGAGCCACAAGGTAATTACACCATTCTCGTTCCCTTGTCATTCTGAAAAACATGTCACAGTGTTAAGAACAACACAGACATTCAATATATTCATAAGTCTAACTTAATGGATAAATCCAAACCATTTACCGTCTTTCCAATTAACAAATATTTTCCCTTTTTGCTTGAATATTATTATTTATTCATTTTAGTGTGGCCTTGTGTGTCTCAGGAACTGGAAGATAAGATCAGACATGTCGACAGCGGCATTCAAAAACCTTGCAGCTTCAAGGTGAAACTTCCCAAGTTCCCCCGTGTTTTCTACGCCCCTTGGATAGTGTTTTGTAGGAATCTTAGAGGCATCACAAGCCTTGGTCTTCCGGCTGCTGGAAACAGTGGCCACATCGCCGAAGAGTGGCACGGAGATGTCGCAAAACCTATCGTTGTCAAGTTTTTCCGTTCGGTGTATTCCTTCGAAACCATAGCTAATTGGTTGCGTTTTGCCCAAGTTCTTGGAGACGCTGGTGTAGCTCCTAAATTTGAAGGACTGTTTGACGTCCATGATCTGAAGAACTTTCCGAATAAATTTAAACGCACCACATGTTGTATTCAGCGACGCTGGGAAGATCCATATAAGCAGTACCACACGGTTGGCATGGTTACTGGATTCATCAAAGTTGATGGTGAAGATATAAGGTTCGCCGATACTGTCTGTTTCTCAGACTACCTCAGAAATTACATGGATCGCATTAACAGAGAGCCATATAAATACATGTACAAATTCCAGTACAAGCCACTCAACAAAACGGAGAAATATCACTTCATGCGTCTCATTACACGCATTGCAGAGAAGCTGGCCAAAATGCACCAGATGGGCTTTGTACACAACTACCTCAATGGACGTCACATCTGCTTGGAGTCCATCAGTGACGATCATGAAATGATGGAGCCTTATATCTGCAACTTCAGTCGCACCAGAAAGGTAGACAGCGTCAACCCGTACACCATTCACCGCCAGCGAGACCCACTATCCCAAGCAGCCTATAAGGGACTTTTAGGCAGCTTTGCTCCCGAGGTGCGCGAAGGGCTCGATTCTACCCAGGCTAGCGACGTCTACAGCTTCGGGTGCACGATAAGTCCCCTTAAAGCAGTCCTTGGCATTGAAGCTCTAGTCAATACCTGCCTGAGAGAAGACCCTCGCAGCCGTCCAAAAATGCCTCTGCTGGCACAGGTGCTCAGAAACAAAACCACCATTATGGAGAAGAATCTCGGTTCCCCAATTACTGCTGATATTGATGCTCGTCGTTCAAAGGTTTCTGTGAGCACTACACCTGATGTCCACAGGTTCTCCTCGAGGCTTACCCGGCGACAGGAGGGGTTTCTGGACGGTCTCCAATCCAGCGGCGCTATTGCAATTGGACCATAGACAAAGCGCTCTTAGGACAAACAAGTATTTTTTTTTCACTGCAATACCTCTTATTGAGAAAACTCTAGTGTATATTTATTGCTACAACGAACTCTTACTTCACTGATATACCGTCAGATTGAGAATTGGCATTCTGACATTCCAAACCGCTCTGCGTTGAAAGGAGACATTATAGTTTTTTCATTTGTCTCATGCCTGTGAAGAATAAATCTGTCCCGCAGCATTGTTATCATATCAAAGATACATGAATGAAGACGTTTGTTTAACTTAATTTATCATACAAATAACCCTTTTTCATGGGATACCCGTGAAACACCTGGCTGTGATATAAGAAACAATATATTCAAGATTTATAAATATTTTGATAAATAAATTTATATTCTACATTGCATAATCACCTGAGTTCACAGCATCTATCTCTGTTTATAACTTGATACACATTTAAAGAATATAACTTTGAATTAAAAAAAAAGTTTTTCGAAAGGCTAAAATAATTCACATACCAGACAATGTGATACGCCTTTTAAATTTGAGTTTTCTATGAAACTGTATTAAATATACGTAAAGCGTCTGTTCTTTGTAAGGCATGGATATTATATATGACAAACGCCTGCTTTAAAGAGCCTGATAACTACTATTGATTTAAAAAAATCAGTTTTATTGTTCTAAATTCCTGAGACGAGCATTTTTATCTCCACCGGCTAGTCACTATAAGGTCAGTTATTGCGTAAACTAATCATAACTAGAGACACTTGTGTAATCTGTTACATATTTCTTCAATCTAATCGTTTTATCGCAAACACAGTCTGTCTGAGCTCGATCAAAATGGCCGGAGGATGCATGCATTACGACCGGGGCTTGGTCTACTTGATTATCACCAACAGTTGACAGTGTGAAGACATAATTCTGGATAGTTTTCTTCCCTTCTAGAAGCATTTCACCACTTTTACCTTTCCTATAGCTTTGACCATATCATCTATCGCATCATAGTATATTCTAATTAATGAATAAACATAAAAGAAAACAACACTTAAGTCACATTGTGACCCCATGATACGTTGTCAGTGTATGTTGATAATACTCGATGGACAGACCATTCTACTGTACTAATTAAAAAACGACATATTTTTTATGTCAATTCAGTCACATGGGTTCACAAATAAGGGGGACACTGATAAAAAGATGTGGAGCCGTTGTAAATTATCAAACTTCTTTCCCTCTCATAAATTCTTGTGGACACCCACTTTCTACCTACATCTCCAGGCGATGTTTAATCGGTGTTTGCGGCATGACAACCATCTGTTGTTGATGCATACCAATTCTAGCATTGTGAGCACTGTCTGTGACATGTAAACACCAATCAGATAAGGGCTCTTGTTAAAGATATGTATACCTCGATACTCCATGACGTCATCACGAATTATTCTTATGAAACTTATGAATTTATTTGTTGCTTGTCGCATGGCAACAGTGTGTTGGTATTCCACAAATGTGTTGACTTTGTGACGCACTGTCTGTGAAAGTTCTATACAAGTTGATAAGGACTCCTGTTCAAGATATTGGTCCCTGCGCCCTTAAATCTGTCAATCATGAGTCACGAGTCCTTCAAACCAACCCGTCAAATTTTACGATATTATCAGGCGTCCTAAACGGGATTTATACGAGAATCCTAATTTCTAGAATAATAGCAAATTCGACCAACAGAAACCTTCCATGCATTTGGTTTTAATGTTTAAATTTTTTGTGTCATTGTTAATTAAAAAGCTAAACGAACCATGATTCATTTAGAGAGTCATGTGTGCCTGTACATTTCAGAAAAATATATTGATTTCAGGAACTCTTGAGGCGTTTTTTTCGTTCCAAAGGTCTACTTTGGTACATACATGTAGCTTTTTGGGGTATTCATACCACTGTTAACTTGAAGGATAGACCCCCGTTCGATCTGCGGTTCACGAACCGAGACTTACCTGTAATATTTCATGCTACATGCGCTAACAAACTGGGAAACTATTAAAAACTGTGGGCTAGGGTTATTTTAAACAAATGGTTGTCATATCATATCATATAGCATCTAACTAGACAAGTCAAAATGACATTACAGTATTTTGTAACAAACACATATTTTGTAATATCTATTTTCTGACTAGTTAGTAAAAAGTCTTAAGAGGACCAAGGCGTATTTTATGCGAATAATTAACAAATATATTCAATCGGAATCTTGTTCTTATTCGGAATCTATAAATCGTAATCTATTGATTATTCTTAATTCTTGATATTCAAACTGGTTTTAAGAATTTTTCGTAGGTAGCATCAAACTTTTGAATAAATATAACGTTTTAAATTAACACAGCACAGAAAATCAACCGTTTTTTGAAGTAAAAATATTTAGAATCAATTCATTATCGGCGGACATTTGATTAAAATAGAAAATTAAGACAACGGAAAATCGTGTACAACACTAGGAAAGTCGTGGTAACAGCCTGTTTTGGGGCAAGCAAATGTGCATTTGGCGCTATAGGATTTATACATTATCTCACTGCTATGAGTGAAGGGACATTACGCAATTACTGTGAGAAAGTAGGAGGCGAGAGAGGGTAACGAACACAAGTACTCGGGCTTTTCCCTTTTGAACACACTAATCTCTACCAATAACCTAGTGGTTAAAATATAATTAAAACCTGCACTTGCGTAAATACATTTTTCAAATGAGAAGTATACGAAAAACAGCATTTAATTCATTTTTTACATATACTTGATATTCCTGTCGATATATGTTTGCATACGTCGTTTTTCATCCTTTACAACCTGACTTTCACCTTATAAAGCACCTGCCGCACGTGCAAGACACCATTTCTATCCAGGAGAACATCGTGTTGTAACAAGAACACTTGTACAGACCGAAGATGATTGGAAGAGTGTACTTGACACTGGTGGCTATATCCTTCTTTAATGCAGTATATTCAACCCGCGGTAGGTCTGTTTTGACTACTAAAAACATGTTAATATTGTAGTGCTTTATGTAATGAAACGTTAT